ACTTTGTCATAGAGCAAAATAAAAACAAAAACGATGGTTAAGTTACACACAAATATTAACTTAAGATAAAAAAAATGGACGAAGAAAGTATGTCACATTTTCTTATAAAAGATCTTTCGTCATATCACAACATTACTTACTATTGTAATAACAATTTCTTGTGTAATGTTATATTATTTAATTTTGATATTAATATTTTGTAAAAAAAAAAATAAATACTCAATATACCATCTTCATCCATTTAAACTGAATTATATAGGTATATAGTTAGGATTATAATGTACTATTCTAAACCCCAATTTTTCAGTTAATCACCACTTAATATTCCACCCAATAGGAGGCATTTCAGGCAAAGACACGTTCACACAGGGTAAGAGGTGCATGAAATAGTTTTTAGATTCTGCAAAGTAGCTTATGAATAACTCATAGTAAAAAGATGTTAGGTTGATAATATAGTTAAAGATGTGATAAGTCGTCTCAGTGACACCGTATTGGACATTGCGCAGAGAGTCCACACAGGTAAAGAAATGTTTCTGCGCGATGTAAGTCCCTGAAACAAAAAGAAAACGAAGGCCAGGATAGGTTTGTGCGCCTTTTTGGTGCTGCGGTCCCGCGAAAGACATTGAAGTCTGACTGTGCTTGATTGGTTTAGATATGATGTGGATCGATGAGAAAACGTAGAGTCTGGAGAGATGTTTTTTTTTTTTTGTTTAAATTCCTTAAACAGAAAGATGTAAAACCACTTACCAAACAAAAGAAGTAATGGAAGAAGTGTAATCCATAGAATCCTCGGACCTTTTTCTTGCAGCCACTTCCTTACACCGGTAAAATGACTTAGCAACCAAGCATCGAGGACGAGCATTCTGACAAAGAAAAAGTATGCATTGTGTGTATAACGATCCAAAGCTTGCCATAATGCACTCCACTTGGATTCTATAAATAACAGTCAATGAAATATTATTAGTTATAAAATAATTAAATACACTTATATATAATAATAAATATGTAATTAAAAAATTAATAAATATAATAATACATTATTATTTCTATTACTAAGTGCCAATACCATTGTAAGATCGATAAGCTCGTGCATCATAATACTGTCTTCTATTGGTTTTAAATTTGAAAAATTCGACGGTTTTCTTGAACCAAATGGTAATGAAAGTTGTAAGATATGTAATCCATTGCACGATCCTCCATCTTTGGTCAGTCTTGACTGATGATGATGTCAAGGTCTCCTCCAATTCAGTATCAGAATCAGTTGCGTTATACTTTCCAATAAAGTTTAAAGGAGAGTTTGACCATGATAAATATCTATTAATATAAAATATTGTTTTCACTCTTTCAATCAACAAAAGTTTGTTTTAAAATATAAAACAAAAACAAAATGTACCTGGTCGAAAAATCTGAGGAGTATCCAGGCTGCGAATAAATTATTTCTTTGTGAGTCTTGTACTGTTCTATATGTGTTCTTTTATATACAGTTTTTGTGGAAGAATTTGGTACATCTGACACATTGTGATCAATATCAAACTATAAAATTCAAAAAGTTAATTGTTTTAGAAAGTTTATATATATATGCATGTGTATATGTGTTCGTAGGTGTTTAAACAGTATTAATTTAAGATAATGATACTTACTGAATAAAGAGAGCTTCTGTTCTTAAAATCAACAGTATCCATATCACTAATTCCACTTTCTGTCTCTTTTGTGAAATTTGACTTAAGCTTTGATGAGAGACTTGAGGTACGATGCTCTCACAATCCGCATGTATAGGCCGCCGCGACATATTAGGCGTTGCTAATACACCGGGAGCTATCTCATAACGACATTGTGATGTTTGCGAATACGTATAATCGGTCTTTGGAAAAACACTACAACATTTATACAAAGCCTTATTGCTTATATGTAAACAGAGTTAAGCTTTGTTTTAAGTGGTATTTATATAATTTCTAAAATATTATCAATATCACATCAACCTGCTCAATGTGACTCAAAAGATACTGTATATTAGTGATATTAGAAGCTACTGTTTACAAATATTTTTCTGAACAACGTTGTATTTTTAAGATAAAAGTGCACAGTTAGGCAAGTGTGATTACAAGAATTTCATCAACATGTAATAATTTATAATAATTATTTATGTATATTTTATATAATAAATATATAATTTGATAGTTATTTATATATATTATTGTATAATATATATTTTAATACATATATACATATATATAATTGAATATTTGAGGCTCTAATAAATAAATAATAAATATATAATATGTATATTTACAATTAAATATGAAGAAATTCTTGTTTTCAAAAATAATACATACTTCCACCATTCGTTGTACTGCTTGTAAATTTCATAAGCAGATCCTGGTCTACTTGGAGGATCTTCTCTCTCCCCTTCTTCAGATGAATAATCACTGGTAAGTATCCTGTGCGGTGTAACACTTTTGCGCTTTTCCTCGACCTTTTGATTAGCCAAATTCTCTTTACTTTCACTCTGACCATTTATAAATATTTGTCTCTTAGCTCTTTGACGTTCCGAGCGTCGTTCCGCTTTCCTTGTCGTGACAGTGGAATTCTCGGATTTTGTACTTTGAGTATCCGTCACACTTTCTGTTACAGATCCTTCTTTAGTCTCCTCAATCGTATCCATACTTTTATCATGCATTTTACCGATGCTGCCAGTTCTGTAAAAGAAAACACAAGCAAGATAAAGCAAGCTCATAATTCATGCAAATAACAAACTTTAAGGTTTCAGTTTACTCACAGCGATCTGGAACCAGATCTCCTGCTACTCGTCACTTCTCCAGGTGTATGAGATCTCTCCCGGCTTTTATTTCTGAGATCATAGTGATGCTCCGTCACCTCCAGCTCTGGCAAAGAATGGTTCAGGATCATAGGGGTGTGGGAACGTGACCTGCTCCTGCTACGCAGCTCATAATGATGCTGCTCACTCTCCATCTTCCTGTCAAACAGAGAAATATAACCCGGCTACAGAAATACAGAAGAAAAATTGGAGAGGAACGAAACGCAGTTTCTCTAACTCAAAACAGTCTCGCCATAGGCCGAGCAATGCGGTCAAGAGATTCCACTTTCAGGAAAAAGACATACAAGAAATCTCGCTGGCAAGCATATGCCCAACTACAGCTAAAATAGTCCCCTCCCCGAAGGACAGCCGCGATCCTTCTTTCGCCGGATGATCCCTATTTCTAGTCTCTCTCTCTCCCCTTCTCCGCGGATCTCGACTCCAAAAACTCGCCAAGTTCACGCGAGAAGGATGACGCGTCTCTCGCTTTCTCTCACCCTTTCCGAAAATCAATCGGCGACGTGGAAACCGCGTCGTTTTATCGCATGCTAATCTCTCCCGATCACGCTGCCTCGAGGAACAGCTCACCCGGAGTTGTGTATGTCACTCTTACATATACATATATATGTGCATATAGATATGTATGTATATGCGTATCTCGCGTCTTAGGTCGCGCAAGATAATCTACGCACTCTCGCGTTTACGCAAAAGTCACAAAAGTGTCGCGCGCGAGTACACCGTTATTTATAGAAAACTCACCGTTTCTTCCGCGCGCGCGAACTAACGGGACGCGCAAAGTCTCGTTGCGCAATACGCGCGCGACCGCGAGAACGCGATTCAATTGAAAACTAACCCTTGCCCCCTCCCCACTCTCCTCTACCAAGACGATAGGCGCGCAGTTCACGCAGCTGCCGCGAATATGTTCACGGTGTTCGCGCATGTGTGTGTACACATGTGTGTATCATTGGCGTCCGCAGGGGGCAAAAGGCATTTGCCCCTTGAAATTTAAAAAAAATTTTAAGCATTTATAATTCTTTTTAAGTAAACACTGCAATTTATTTGTATATTTATTAATATTAAAAAAAGAATTAAAAATAAATATAATAAAAATGAAATTTGAGAAAATTATTAAACCAAAATAAGTAAGAAAATTTTAACCATGCTCCCCTTTTCTGAAAAAATCTGAGGACGCTCATGTGTGTAATTAGTGCGCGCGCGCGCATGATTTATGCGATGATTCATATATTGTACATATAATTATGCCTATAAGGGAGATACTCATCGTCTGTGAAGGAGAAGAATAATTATTCATCATTTTTACGTAATTTTTGTATTATTAATTTAAAAGGAAGACACTTATTTTAGTGTAAGTATATAAATATGAATGACATAGTTGACAGATTATCTCTTATTTGTGCTCGTATTTTTTGAATTATATGTGTGTTAACGCAGATATATATATATATATATATTTTGCTCTATATAATTAAGATTGCATAAAGCGCAAAAAATACGTATAGATTCTGTCAATTATATATATATGTGTATATATAAACGTATAATTCATAAAAAGATATAAACATGTTTTTAACATCGATAAAGTAAATTCCTGTTTATATTCGTTTACCATAAAATAATGTTTTTTTTAGATAGATCTAAATGTTGCGAAAAGATGATACTAGAGGGCGCTACTGGTCCTTTTTGTTTCTCGAAAAAGATTGAGCAGAGAATGTGAACACACATATATCTAAGAGAAAATTAATTTTTCTTAATTTTCAAACATATGTCATCTTTTCAACAAATTACATAAATATGTAAGTATTAAATTGTGTTCGTATAAAAGAGAATTTCTCTCAATTTTATATTTTTGTATTAAAAGAAATATACATATATATTTTTATAACCTCGCGTAACACGCGTAAAATAAAACTAAAATTATTATTATTATTAATTATTAAATTATTAATCCATAATAAACTTCTCGTGAAAAACTACATCGCGAGTTTCTTTTAGGAATTAGACAAAAATAGAGACTCCGAGAGAGAATATAAGTATCACGATATGTATAGAAGAAGAGAGCGAGAGAGAAGAAAGAGAAAGAGAGAGAGAGCGGCGCGTGCGCGCGCGCATGCGCAGCGCCGGCGGCGCGTTATAAATATACATATAACACGCATGAAGCGAAACGAGCGAGCCGACCGGGATGAAGTTGTCAGCAGAGTACAGTGATCGTATGATGGCGCAACATGTCGGCCGTTCGCGTTTCGCGCCGGCAACGATTCTTTACTACTTGTTCCCGCGTGTGTCTCCGAGCTAGTGAACGTGAACGGGACGACGTCGTCGTTGACGACGACGACGACGGCGTCGGGGACGTCGAAGACGATCCTTCGTTACGACGCCAGCCCGTCGCGCGTCCTCCAGGCGCCCACGATAAGGACGGCGGCCCCGTTGTGGGCAGCGTCGGACCTTCCCGAAAATCGTCGACCGGAAGTCGTGTTCCTGGGGACCGGCTTCAGCTCACGCCTCGCGCTGCGATGGTCGCCGTCGAGCCGCGACTGTCCGACCCACTCGGACGACAACCTCTTGGAGATATTGTGGACGGCGTTTATGCACGACTTCGCGATCTACAAATTTCGAAGTGTGCCCGAAAATCTGACGGTGAACCTCTATTTTTGTTGGAGAGAACACGAGAGGGACGACGATGACGACGTGGACGACGGTGACGGGAGCAGCTGGATCCACTTCGGCGATCGCGTCTCAATTAAATTCCCGGTGAAACGACAGCCGTAAGTAACGAGCGAACTGACTATATTTAGGGTTTTCCACTCCTTTTCTTCGAGTGACAATTACCTGTCATTCTGTCAATCTTCGTGTTCGCGTATTTTTTTCGTTCCTCCGTGAACTTCTTTTCTTCTGTGCTTTATCTTTTTCCGGGCGTGAGTCACAGGATAAATGTAGGAGTGACTTCCTGAAGAAAGGTTTAAAAATAATAATTATAGATCAATTATTTGTAAAGATAGAGAGAGAACAAATGACGCATATAAAAAGAGATGAAATTACAGAAAATGCAAGCATTTTGCTGGATATCATTATCATTATTATCAAAGCAGTATTTATATTAAAGGTCTCGCGAGAGATTCGTGCGAGAGTTTCATTAATTAAGGCAATTACACAAACTCGATGCATCGAATCAAGGTTAAATCATGGTTCAATTAGTGTACCGTAAACATCGTGTATTAAATAAATATAAGATTATTAATTATTATTGATATCACATTATTATTAGTAATTAAATAGGAAGTTATTTAAGAAAATATATACGCAAATATATAGCAAACTGACATTATTAAACGTCAAAATGACGTCATTTTGACATATCGTCATATAGACGTCAAAATGACGTACGTTTGCTACCTGAGTATTTTATTGTACTTTGTGAAATATATACATATAATATTGCGTTATATAATATTCACACTTGGTCAAGGTACATATTCCGCGTATAATTTTTCCGTCACTTTTCGCTGAAATAAGGATATTTCTGAATAATTGCCAATTATTCTTCCAGAGTTCTGACACGTGTCTGTCGAAGGTATTTAAAAAATGTATAAAACTCGATAACAAACAGTCTGTAGTATCCATTTGACGTAAACAAAATATTATTTTGCCGATATAATAAACTAGAGTGTATCTCTCTTTCTTTAAATTCCAAGAAGAAAGAGAAGTCATTCGCCTCTCTCTGCGATATTCTCGTCTATAAATGTTTACACTGCGAAAAGGCGAAAACTGTTATTATATGCGTTATCGCGGATCCCCGATATTGTATATGAAACACACGCACGAATTTATCTGTTCGCATTCGTTCCCACGAATATTACGCTCTGATTTACGAGTGAGACGAAGGCGAAAAAGGAAAGGAACAATTAGTCACCTAACGTAGTCGCAATGCGCATAACACAACATACGCGGATCGTTTAATTTTCAATAAATCACGACAGTTCCAACCAGACTGTTTATTCGACATCAATACGACTCTCGTATAGAGAAATTAGACGTGTCGGATTATACGGGATATATATGTAATGGAGGAACGATAAAACGCTCGTCGGAAAACGATAACGCATATATTTTATCGCCTTGCGACGCAAAGAATGTGCAACTTTAGACGCGCGCGCATTTGGACGCCTCGTATCGGGGGCAAAAGGAATTTGTCTAACGTCAAAACGCGCGACACGATATTATTGTATATATGGTACGTGTTATGTCAGTTGTCAGATCTGTTTAATCATTGACCGAGCGTCTCCTTCTTTTTCTTCTTCTTTCTCTTTCTTGCTGGCGACTATCCAGCCGCATCTCTGCGATTCAATAGATACTTCAAACTTGGCGTCCCACGTTTAATGAACAAAAATAGATTTGACCCGTATTTATTTCGCCCTTTTCCCACAAACCTTCTTCCTTTGCGTAAACACAAAATTTGCGCGAAATTGCGCAAAATTTATTGCCTTCGACAACACAGTTGTGCAGTGTAATAAATATTGTTTTGTGTAATATATATATATATATATACATGTAGTAAACTCTGACGTTTTAAGTGTCAAAATGACGTCAGTTTGACGTTTAACGACGTCAGTTTGTTACTTATATTTCTTATCTTTTCGAGATGCCTTTTACAAAAGGTGATTTTATATTAAAAAGTAATATCGATTCAACCACTTTCACACCCTGACTTGAGACTGAAAGTGTTTTGCGCTTCAATAACTTTATTTCTCTATCGAGTAATATTTCTATAATATTTTGTAACGATAGTAATTATTTTTTTTTTTTTTTTTTAGAAGGAAAAAGATTTTTAACGAGAGAATAATTCTCAGAGTATAAAATACAGACTTTATTTTTTCTCTCTTAATTATTTATATTTGATATTTCAAGAAAGAATACATTCGATATCGATACGAAGATTAAACGATTACGTTTTATAGCACATTAATGTCACAGTTTTTTTTTATCGACGATCTAGAATATCGTTATCTAAATCTTACGAAGACGATAGCCTTATTTATGAAAGGACTCTCGTTACATATATTTCACCGTAATTCATTCTGTAAATTGAACGAGGTGTCGATATGAATCTTGATATAATAATTTTTACGCATCGCCTCGATATATTAGTATAGTAATTTATCGATTTTTTAAAATTTATTTATATAAATTTATTTAACTTATTAATTATTTATTTAATTTATTACTCTCCAAATTTCTTGGAGTGGAATCTCAGCCCAAAAGAATAGAATCTTATTTTAAAAGAGTAAATTCTCACTCCAAGAAATTTAGAGAGTAATTATTTATATAATTATTCAATTAATTTTATAAGAAGTTATTATTAATTATTTACAACAAGATAATGAACATGGGCATCCGCAGAGAATCGGTAAAAAAATTAAGCATTTACTCTCCTTTTGAATAAATACTGGAATTTGTATATTTAATATTATAAAAGAAAATAATAAAATAAAAAAATTAAGAAAGAACAAAAATAAGAAACAAAAAAACTTTAATATAATGCTCTTCTAGAAAAAATTTTGTAGACGCCCATGACAATGAGAGAGTTTAAAGATTAATTTTCTATTGTAAATTTTATAGGCATGGAGAAGAAAAATTTTTTCGTGAACGACGAAATGATCATCAGTTTCTTGATGACCCCAAAACTGTCATCCCGCAAAATTACACAGACACGCATATCGAAGGGTTACGAATCGAGACGGCCGAGAAAGAACCCACTCACAGCGAGGAAGGAATTCCCCAGATCCGGGCTGGGACTAAGGCGGTAATCCGTTTATTCGGCACCGGTATCACTCCAGATACTCTGATCACCTTCACCGACATGCCAGCGGAAAGGGGCACCGTTTGCGATAAAATTAAAAGTAACGAGTTTCGAGTGAGTATAGTGGAGTTTTGAGTTCGACGTTAGAGGAGAGAAATTGCAAAAAGACTTATCTGACTTATTATTTATATTTAGGTGGAAAATGTAGAGGAGAGCACAGCGACCGTTAGCGTAGTACTTCCTCTGGGATCGTCATTTTACGTATGCGCAAAACGGCCGATGGGAAAAGATAAGGACCAGGTACTCTTTAAACATCAAGGAATCGCACTGTATAATACTGTGAGCATACATATATATTTCTCTCGTTTTTTCTCTGCATCTTTTATTCTATTTATAGAGCATGTAGATTTATATATATATACATATAAGCTTCTTCATTGATATAAAATTACTAAGTGAGTTACTGAGTGAATACAATTATTTATAGTTCAGGACTTTCAGATCCGCACATATGAGAAATTACTACCGCTCTGGCTCAGTATCATCATCATTCTCATTTGTCTCTGTTTTTCCGCGCTTTTCTCCGGTCTCAATCTCGGTTTAATGGCGATAGATAGGACCGAATTGAAAATACTCGTCAATACCGGTACAGAAAGAGTAAGCAAAATGTTTGTTTTTGTATATATCTATTCAGCGTTTTTTATTTTTTTCCCTCTTTTTCACTTACGTTGCACTATTCCACTATTCGTTATAGGAGAAAAAATATGCGAGAACTATTCAGCCCGTAAGAAATCACGGGAATTACCTTTTGTGTTCGATTCTGTTTTCCAACGTTCTTGTCAATTCGGTGTTCACGATATTGTTGGATGAGTTGACATCCGGGATTGTTGCTATTATCTGCTCGACGTTAGCTATTGTCATTTTCGGCGAAATTTCGCCGCAGGTATGTTTGTCGCGCAAATTACGACGCTTTTTCTACTCATTTACCTCCAAATCTTTATGATCTCGAGTCTAACGATACGATATTGTTTTGTAGGCTATTTGTAGCAGGCACGGATTGTGCGTCGGTGCGAAGACCATTTATCTCACCAAAATAACGATGCTAATCACTTTTCCATTAAGTTACCCAATCAGTAAACTCCTAGATGTTGTTCTTGGCGAAGAGATCGGCAATGTGTATAATCGAGAACGTTTGAAGGAATTGGTCAAGGTAAGAAATTAAGCGATCCAGTAGTAGTATAATTGAATTAGAATGCCTTATGATATAAAAGACAGTAGTTTATAGAGTGGAAAATGATTTTTATGCAATATTTAACAATATTAATGTATTACTTTTACACGAATAATTACGATTACCTAATCCTTATTAATCTTTAATTAAGAATTGATAGTGTTCGCAAAAATTCAAATAGCTTGTATGTAGAAAAGTATTATTAGAAGTGTTTGGGAAATGCATGAATATTTGAAATTGATATATTAATACTATACAGGAACCTTTCTAGGTAACGAATGAATACAACGATTTAGAAAAAGATGAAGTAAATATAATTGCAGGAGCGTTAGAACTGCGGAAGAAGACCGTAGCGGATGTAATGACCAGAATCGAAGATGTATATATGTTGAACTATAACGCTGTTCTAGACTTTGAAACTGTGTCTGAGATTATGAAATCAGGTACGATTAACATTTTATGCAAGCTTTAACGACGCCCCATCTATATCACAATTGGCATTCATAATTCCGAAGATATTATCAGTTTAATTAAACATTTATTACAGATAAATCTTGCATTAGATAAGCATTTAGTCTTACCAAGAGACATTTGCCAGTTATTTAATCTTGATCGGATGTAGATTTTTGTATTTTGCGGAACATGGTGCAATGCTTGTCAAATTAATTGATAGATTTTATTTTTAGGATATTCGCGTATACCGGTGTACGAAGATATAAGAACGAATATAGTGACGTTGCTATATATCAAAGATCTTGCATTTCTTGATCCTGACGATAATATGCCGCTCAAGACACTTTGCCAATTTTATCAAAATCCATGTAATTTCATTTTTGAGGATGTTACATTAGATATAATGTTTAAACAATTCAAAGAAGGTCTGTATATGATACAATTGAGTGTTTATATATATATATTTTTAATAAAAATATAAGAGAGCAGAGAGTAATAACAGTTACACATATTTATCTTATAGGTAATAAAGGCCACATGGCTTTTGTGCAAAGAGTTAACAACGAAGGCGAAGGTGATCCGTTTTACGAGGTGATTGGTTTGGTTACGTTGGAAGATGTTATTGAGGAATTAATTCAGGCTGAGATTATTGACGAGACAGATGTATTTAGTAGGTTTTGTTTTATTACTTATATGCAAAGTTCTCTTGCAGCAAAATTGAAATATATATATATATATATATATATATATATATATATATATATATATATATATATATATCTATAAAGCACTATTTAACAAGTGCACTGGATATTGATTTTTGCAGCGGATAATAGAAGTAAACGTAAAAGACAAGTTCGTCAAAAAGTACCAACTGATTTCACCATATTCGCGGAGAAGAAGGAAAATCAACGAATTCACATCTCTCCACAGTTGACTTTAGCGATGTTCCAGTACTTATCTACAAGTAAGACACAATATTTAAAAAGCGGATCTATAAATTGTATGTCAGATTTATAATTATATATTATATGCGATTTTTAGCTGTGGACACGTTTAAACCAGACATTATATCGGAGACGATCCTACGACGTTTACTGAAGCAAGATATTATTTATCACGTCAAAGTGAAATCGCGTGAAAAAGCTAAAGCTGATCCTGCCGCGATAATCTATCAACAAGGAAAAGCAGTCGATTACTTTGTGCTAATTTTGGAAGGTCGCGTCGAAGTGACAGTGGGCAAAGAAAACATGATGTTTGAAAGTGGTCCCTTCACATATTTCGGATCGCAAGCTCTTACCGCTAATATCGGGATCGGTAAGACTGAAATATATCTTACAATGAAAATATATTTTTATATATGTCTTGGATTAAATAGGAAACATTTGGATTTTGTTATGTAGCTGAATCGCCCACGAACGCGAATCCTCAGACAGTCGGTAGTATTCAATCCGTTAATCTGGATTCTATGCTGCGTCATACCTTTATACCGGATTACACGGTGCGTGCGGTGACCGAGGTATTCTACGTAAAGGTCAAAAGATCTCTGTATCTCGCAGCGAAGCGCGCTACACTTTTGGAAAGAAGGCAAAAGGATCCGTTGCCTAGTCAAGAACAATTCGACGACGAAGTGGAGAAGGTTGCAATTTCCTACATGAACAAAAAAATAGATTATAAATTTGTCACATGAAATTTGCTAATTACTTATCAAATAAAATAATACAAGTAATTCTAAATTAATTCGCAGTTGTTGCATTCTTTGGAGGAGGACGATCGCAGTGTACCTGAGTCTCCGGTGTTGCTCGCGGATAAATTCGTGGAAAACGAGAAAGGAAAGGATTCCGTGATTCATTCGCCCGTACGCAGCGTAACGGCGCCGACGTCGCCGCTTCCAGTTAGCGCCAGTCCAATTACCAATTCGAAGTTTGCCTCACCGCGAAATGATGGGAAAACTAAAAATTTATCAACAAAGGTTTCTGCTATATATATATATATATATGACAGTTTTAATACTAGGGTGTATACTTTCGAGAAAAACTTTGAGAACATGGTATTCTCGAGGATTTTAGTTCAACCTTGAAAAATCAAAGAATTCTCATGTGATTTGATTGGGATTCAGGGAATTTTGTAAAAAATTATCTTTTTTTGTTAATTTTATTCTTATTTAACACTTAAGAAAGATATGTCTTGACAAAATTTAAGTTTTCGTTAAAATATAATGTAATTTTTTTATTGACAATCTATTTTTAGTATCAAGATTTTATATAAACTAAAAATTTTATAGAAAATTGTTCAATTTTTTATAGATAATATTTAAATAAATTAGTAGTTATTTATTTAATAAATAATTTTAATAAATTGGTATTTTTTAAGACGTTTATAATAAATTATTTTTTGTTTTATCTTTTAAATTTTTGTTTTATATGTATTTTTATTTTTATCAGGGAATTCTCAGGGAATTTTTTTACAAAACTTGAATAAGATACCGTGAATACATTTATACCATACTTTTCTGTATAATGACAAAATTTATTTTAGAGCCATTTTGACATTTCAATATATTTACATATCATTTATTATGTTTATTCAAGATTCAAACGAGTCCAATGGAAACTCAGGCTAAACGCGATTCCTTAAACACGCTAGACGCGGACATTCTCGCCCGACAGTCCGAAGCCGCACGATTATTGAACACCACCAGAAGAGTCAGCGAAAATGAAGAGCGAACAAATCTCTTGCCTAAACAGGATCACTCTTAACGCTTACAGAATGGCCGACGATACTCGGTTTTGTCGGCGAGATCAATAACATTAAGAGCATCGAGCGATACAGAGCGGAACATACTGGCATGACACATATTGTTACTGTGACACTAGGTACTTCACGAATTATTTAGATATTTATCATAAGAGAAGAAAAACTTCATATTTTTAACTATTAGCTTAGAAGCTGTACTCGAGAGATGCCTCGGTTTTCTTTTATATATTTATATATATTTAAATTCTTATTTAAATTTTTATTTAAATTATTCCTAAATATACATTATCATATAAATACGTCATTTTATCGCGATAGTTTATATATGGGCTGCTCTTTATAGCTGAACTGATTGCATTAGTTCAAAGTTTATCTTTTTCTAATGTAGAATAAAAAAGATAAACTCTGAACTATATAGTGCAGCCAGTTCAACTATAAAGAACAAACCTATAGAAAAGAAAAAAGTACATAATCAATTGTTGCTAATAGATAATTTAATAGATAATTCACAATAAACATGATAAAATTCAGATATAATCATGATTATATAGAATATAGACCATCAAATTTTTCTAAATATGTGCAAAAATTCATATATAGAAGGATTATTGTAAGAATCGATTATTTTAAGAATGTTGATTCTATTTTTAAATGAAAAACTAATTCTTTGTTTATTTTGTTATACATTTTTTTATATATAATTTATTTCTAAATTTATAAAATGTTATATACATATATATGCATAGCATGCTACAGAAGAATGCTCATTATTTATCTCAATATCAGAAAATGGCATTACGGGTACAGTTTTTAGCTAATTTGGAAAAAATGATGGGAGCTATGCTGTAATAATAATGCCTTGACATTATTTTGAATATATTTTAGTACGAAGATTCATTATAAAACAATAATATATAAAATTAGCCATATATGATCACTAAAATATATATATATATATATATATATATATTTTAAATATATATATATATATATATATATATATATATATATATATATATATATTAGAATAATCAGTACAAATGGAAGAAAAGTTTGACACAAGATTAGTATATATCATTTAAATATTACTTTTCTCTGAAATCAGAGACTTTGGTTACTTATATTTCTTGGGTTGAATATGAATTTAAATATAAGGTAGATTCAAATGGCCCATTTAGTAAATAAAAAAAGGCTTGGTATACATAATTCACACATACATATAATTAATTATACTTTTATTATGTGCCTTAAGAAATTTTCTATACAGGTATTATTGTTGTGAGCTTAAATCAATTTTTATTAAGAATATAGTTTTCTTTTCTTTTTCTAGAAGTTTTATTAATGCATTAAATTCAATAATTACATTCCTAGTTCACGATTAGTGCAGTCATATACTCATCATCATTTTTCATTTTAATCTAATGAAAGAAATTTAGATAAATAACAGAAAAATGTATATTTTTTCTTATATTGTCAAGGTAAAAAATGGAGCAAAAGTTTATTTGTTGCTTAATTTGTATTGGATTTTTAATGAAAATTTAATTAAACAATAATTTAATTATTTCAATTAAATCGTTTATAATATCAATAATTAAGCTACAAAAATTATTCAATATATCTCTCACATAACTATATATAGAAAAAAGAATTATCTTTTGTCAGTATCTAATAAACTTTATCAAATCAGGTACTTAATTTGTGGCTAAATACTTGTCACGATATTTACTATATATAGAAATAATATTCCGTGATACAAAGAAAAATAGATTAAATTTTTGTTGAAAAATAATCTTTTATTTAAAAATAGAATTTTTTCTAACAGAGTATGTTTTTTAATGTTCAGAATATGTAAAATTAAAAAAAATTGTCTTCTATTATATACATGTCTAGTAATTTTGTATAATTTTAGATATGAAAATTTATAGGTACAGTTTTGTCATTCTATAATATTGTTAACATTTTTTTCAGGAATCTAATTTTTCTTAAACTGTTATTTTGTTTTATAAAATATTTCAGTGATGCAAATGTACAATTAATACAATTAATATTGTATTGTTGTTAATTGAGTACTTATGATATACATTATAGATACATCGAGATTAATATGTAATATGTAATTATTCATGCATAAAGCGGTTTTCGAAAAGCAAGTTTTTTTATGTACATATGAAGAGATTCTAAATTAGTGGACCTAGAATACATAGAGAAAGTAATTAAAGTAAGGAATGAAAATTAGCTTGTGAAATACCTCTCTGTGTAGTCTGTGTGTTTGCTGATTATGAATAATCTCAAGATTAAAATACTTAACAAAGAATAAAGATTTATGTTCACATTATATATGACATGGCATAACAGATAAGTTCTATGATAAATAAATGCATTCACATACATTAAATATGTAAAAATTAATTTATATTAAAAAAAATATATATATATTGCCATGTCGTTATATAATGTGAATCAAATTTAAACGTTTGGCTTTTATTCTGTAGAATATATGAAATTAGAAAATGGTTACCTGACATTGTTCTTGTAGATTATTGATCAAAGTACTTATAAAAAAAATCAATGCGAATTGCGATGAATATTATATAACATAATATATATATATATACATATATATATATTTTTTGTACTGTCTAAAAATCTAACTAGAAATATTATACATGGGGAAGAAATATATTGCATCCCCCTCTCCCTTCTTCTCGTTCGATTTACAAAGCATTCTATTGTAGGGTAATAGATCTAAGTACATTACAATAAAATGTTAAAGTTACAGCGTGAAGTATAAACATGACATTTTTTACAGAGATGATTTACATAGTGTACATAATATAGTGAATGTAAAGTCATGTTAATCACATATGTACATTCTTCATTTTCCCATCATATTTATTGAGATTTATCATAATTTATTATTTTTAAATAATGATTACAAACTTATTGTGCCATATCTGATATGTTGCGATTGTTGATTAGATTCCTATACTTGTTTTCATAAATGAAATTTAAAAATTATTGTAGTAGATTAGTAAAATATTAAAGATTAATTACATTTACATAAAACATTGCGAGTTGAATAAAAAGAACCAATATAATGTATGACAAATAAGAGAACCATTATAAATACCTCTTTCTTTTATTATATCTTTATAAAATATACATTAAATTTGACATTTAGCATAAAAATATTTGATTTTTTTAATACAATGTTTTAAATATTGTTATAAGAATTATAATATAAAATTTAATATTATGTGTATGTATGTATGTGTGAGATGGATAGATTTATTCGAAAAGATATATCTATAAAGGCATATAAAATACATATGCATTAATATATTTATGCATAAGAGACAATAGATACATATAAAAATAGAAAAATTGCATATACAATTTTTATCGCACGAAACTAATAGTATTATATATATATATATATATATATATATATATATATATATATATATATATATATATATATATATATCTATACAGTACTCATCACATTATATCACATTAATGTGAAAGTTTAAGATATCACAAGCATAGAGTAATGAGTTAAGTAAGACTCTTCTACTTCAATTTTAGTTTAAAAATAAATAACTACTCTATTTTTTCTCTGATATACAACAACATTCAGTACAAGATATTTCTTAAATTTTATATAACAAAAACAAAATCTTTCACATAATTCTCTAAATCTTTTCTAATTAAAAAACAATTATAATTCTGCTCGTATAATTCTTTTTATTTCGCTTAATTTTGTCATATTCAAATCTTTGTCTGCTATTAATTTTTGCAATGATGCAATTTTTGCATTTATAAAGGCAGTTTTATCTTTCTTCGTTACTCTTTTCCTTTGAGATCTTGCGGTGAAGAATTTATAAAATTTTGTATGAGACACCACGGTTGTTGTTCATTCATCCATGTAATCAAATCTATGTTGATATTGGAAGAACATAGTATTTTATTTGTATTAATAGGAAATTTTAAAGTAAATACTGCGTCTGTGATTTTCTTCATACAAAATATGCTATGATTCATAGAAATAATAGTAAATACCAAATAACTGTTTGTAGGCAGTTTCTCTGTGATATTTAATTCGAGGTAATGATAATTGCACAGTGTGGACACTTCAATGTGTGGAGTTACTTGAAGTTTTTCTTTGGAAACATACAGGTTTATTCTTCTATAGTTATCTTGTTCATATTTTTTGCTCTCGTAAAGCACATTCAATTCCTTTGCTTTTGCATAAATTCTCTCCATAATAAGATCTGTTTTTTGAAACATATCGATATTAAGGTTGACACCAGCATTAAACGATAAAGAATTTTCCAGTTTGTCAAGAGGAAGCTCAACTAATTCGTTCTGTTGCGACAGTCCTAAAACTATATTTGGCTTGTAATACTGTATACATCTAAACTTCCTCTCTTCCACTCTTATCTCTTGAATTTCATCGACGAAGAGTTCCTTTCTCATATAATACATCTTGAATCGATCGCAGTAAATTATCCACAAAATGTTTTCCACTTCTGTATTGAAGCAGGCACAGAATGCGGAAATATTTATCATGTGCTTTCCCAGATGTATCTTCTCAAAGACTAGATAATCTTCACCATGCACCAAGATCACCATGTCTACATCTATAAGAAGCAAAAGAGCCGCTACCTTGCCTCGTCTCCTTACAGGTACAATATCTACAATGGCACGTTCGCAGGTATAGATCAGTTGCACGACATTGTCCTCGCTTAACGCGAACAACCTTTTGTCGTGTGTGATCACGCATACATTTCTCTTCCTTTCCGAATCGATGAAACAATTTAAGAACTGTGTCTCGGTATCCTCCAGAATTAAAGAAAAGGTGCGGATGTCCTCTTCGGACGTGTTTGACGCAACGGGAAACAGCAACGAGGACGATTTGACCCGCTTGTCGTCCAGGTACACGCCGTCGTTCTTGGCGATTACCACCTGGCAAAACTCGCTACCCATGTCCAGAGCGTTTTTGCTCAGGAGGGCGAACTCGCCGGTCCGTGACAGCTTGTAGGCACCCTGGGGAATGCATATGACGAAGACTCGATCGTTGAAGTAACGGACCTGCCTGAGAGGATACGGCGTCGTCAGGACGTTCATGTTCCGTGCCACCGAATCCCCCGTGTACGGGAATCTGACGAGCTTGTCCTCGTTCCAACAGAAACATGTTTCCACGCCGTAAAATTCGCACACGACGAAACGTCGTAGCTCCTCGTCGTCCAACGTGATATACATGTGGAAACGTTTTTTTGCTCTACAAATTAAGTTGGATAAATTAATACACAAGGTTTATAAATTATAATACAGGGTGTCCCATAGAAAATTGCTGAAACTAATCAACTGTCATTTTTTAATGCATGCAGTTATTGAGAAATCCAGTTTATTTGATTGATAAAAAGTAATGAAAAAAGTGCTAATAATCACATAAAACCACATAAACTAATAAGTATTTTCAACAGTATCAGATTTAACAGCAGCTATTAAAAGAATGCATTAAAAAATAACAACTGATTATTAGTTTCAGCAATTTCCTATGGCGAATATCTCGTATATAGTTATAAATTTATAATAATTAAATTAGATTAAATTAAATAAGAGTCTCTACATGTGCGCAATCGTAAATAGAAATACAAGGCACTCACGAGGCTGATTCAGACTTTTTTTCTTGCTTTTCTCCTACGATTTGACTGATATAAATTGAACAAGGTAAGGTTAAACCTTAATGCTATCAACTGAGAAATAGAATGAATCAAAGAATTCACGGATACTTGATTATCAGCCAAAAGTAAATCCAAATAAAGCACTATGACACGTTTGAATTAAGTCGTTCTGACAGGAATGAATAATCAAACATTTTTAAAGCAATAAATCAGACTCATCGTACTCCCTAATTTTTTCGTATAAAAACAAACATATATATCATAGACATGAGTCTAATATATCTTATATATAAACACCGGTTGCGTTCGGGAATCACATTCGATCTCTTTGTTACTCGCGGAAAGTTGAACAAAGATAGAATAATACTCCGACATGTGACTCAGGGTGCGATTACATAGACGCGCGGAAACGCGGAAACGCGGAAGAGAAAGTAACTAAACTTTACTAGAGTCCCGCATTTCCGCGCGTTCCGTTCCGTCTGTTTTGATTGCCTTATATTACATGGAGCACATTTTGAGCGGAAAAGCGGAACGGTATAGTGACAAATAGACATTTGTATTAATTTTTTAAATTTATATTTACTTAATTCATTGTAATTCCTTTTAATATGTTCATCTTTTTAACTTATCTATTGAATACAAGCATTTTAATCAATAAATATAGTTAAATATTAATATTTTATAATTCCCCGTTCCGCTTTTCCGCTCAAAATGTGCTCCATGTAATATAAGGCAATCAAAACAGACGGAACGGAACGCGCGGAAATGCGGGACTCTAGTAAAGTTTAGTTACTTTCTCTTCCGCGTTTCCGCGTTTCCGCGTTTCCGCGCGTCCATGTAATCGCACCCTTAATCTTTAGCAGTAAATAAAGATAAACCAATCACAATCGAGTATTTTTGCAACGCAAAAATGTGATTGGTTGATTTGCTCATAATCTTTCGTGACCAATCAAGACGAAGATTTCTCTGCTCCGATTGGTCAGAGAAACGTTCAGAAACGTCAAACGCCTAAATATCATCGACATATAGAATGGACTGAGCATCGCGATGGGTAAGCGCGCGCCTGCTTTAGAGTGAGAAGTACTACATCTGAGGCCTATGTTTGTCTCTCTTTTTGCAGGGCCGTCTAAAAAAATTGCGGACCATGTGCATTTTTCTATGAAATGTGTAGTCAATAGATTTTTTTAGAATTTATTTTAAAATTTGTTTTAATATATTTAATATATTTATAAATAAACAATAAATTTGCTTTAATTTATATTATATTTATATTAATATTTTATTAATTATAAAGTTTTATAAATAGATATATGTTTACAAATTTTATTATAAATATTATTATTATTTACACACTATACTAATGTTATAAATAATAAAAAAATTATATTGTTGATATATAGAAAATTTTATTTATTTACATTTATAAAAAATTACAATACTACACATTATTTGACATATTTTCTTTCCCCAACAATACTTTTTGTGAAATCCTGTTCATTAAAATGTTTTGAACACACTCTTGCATTTGGACTAATCTGCTTGATGTTTAATGCAGATAACCACAATTTCTTTATGTGTTCTTTTTCTGGAACTCTGAAAATAATGATAATGTATTACTAGCTTTATATTGTATAATTCAATTATTATTATATTACAAAATATTTAAAATAATGTTCTAAATATCTCTTATTTGTAAAACGCATAATCTAACCTAACTTTTTATAATTTTACTTTACACAATTTTATTACATACTATTACATATCTTAATTTTATTATATAATATATAATTTTAATATATATTTAACAAAACTATGCAAGTTACGTATATATAATATAATTATATACAGCTTTAAAACAATATGTTTAAAGAATGTGTTACAATAATGTCCTATAAAAAATACTTTTAATGTACTTACTTATGCATCTGTATATCCTTTTATTTTTATCATACGTAATTTTGCACACAAAACACCTTAAAACTATTTTTAATTTTTAAAGATAAAGATAAACGTTTCACGTTATTCCAAAGCGAGTAGGCGAAGGTGAGGTGTCAAAAATTTAATGCTATGTTACTGCTAGAATTCTGGAGGGGGACGAAATAACAAATCAGAAGCTTGCAAGAGAGACAAACATAGGCCTCAGATGTAGTACCTCTCACTCTAAAGCAGGCGCGCGTTTACATATCGCAATGTTCAGTCCATTCTATATGTCGATGCTAAATATATGTAGCGTTCGAATGACATTTGGCGCGTATAATTTGTAACGACTGTAATGTTTATCTTGAATCGGAAAATGATTGATTTGTTGACTTGAAAAGTGCTCAAATTTTTCATACAATTATATGATATCGACAATAATTTTATATGGATATTGTTCATAACAGCGATCATGGGTAAGTGACTAATTGTAAAGCGAGAAGTTAGAGGTTAAATAACATTTTTGAGGTTATGTTTCCGATACCGGAACTCGTTAACACTTCCACTTTTGAATGTCGCAGCACCAAAATTGACTAAATATAAGGTAATCACTGTGATAAAAAGATTCAAGTTCGACGAAATAGAATGCAGTGTAATGCCCATTTTTCCGGAGATATCTTGGAGCGATGTCAAGTCTAAATTAATAAAGAAACACAAAACATTCACTGCTTACAATGTCGCACTCATTATTGGACAAATTCTTGATGTAAGAATTATTTTTTTGAAGTATAATTTTTATGTACATATACTTGAAATATTATTCTTAAATTTGGCTTTTATTTGTAGAATATCAACTTAAGAGACAAAGAGTTGGATAATAGATTGACAGCACTAGAAGTAACAGGTAAAGTAACAATTTTGAATATTAAATTGTTTATAAATGTTTAATTTGTGCGAAATATTAATTAATATATGTTATATTATTGTGATATATAAAATAATGTATGATTTTTTTAGATATAAGTAGACATAACAAGAGAAAGATATGGTACGGTTACAAGTTAACGGGTGCAGGCAGCTCATTAAATTATTTGGAAATACGACAGATTCAAGAAACCATAAAGAAAGAATTTCAGTCAAAAAGTTTAAATATAAATGTAAAAGCTGCAGTACATGACGACATCACATTCGTAAATATTAAGGAAAAGAAACAAACAAAAAGAAAAGCATACACTGCCATGCCTATCTTTTTTGCTTTATTTTCGGGCCACAAATATTTTTTCTGTTCACAAAAGAATATTTCAACTAATATTGCACAATCGATGGCTATTGCTCTGGGTTATAATGGTAGCAAAAGAATTAAGCTCATGGGTAAAGATCTTAGATCTCTAATAAGATTGTTGTGGAACAAGCAGCAAAACACTTTGCATTCAGAAGACATTCAACAATCATTAGTTTATGAACCATCTCGTCCTATCATCAGGTAACAATTCAAAATAATAAAAAATATATTTTTTTACTTTTGTAATTGTACTTTTATGTAATATTATACTTATATATATACATATATGTGTGTACGCATGCAATATATGTATATTATAATATTTTATATACATAGAGATACAAGTTATATACCTTCTAAATAATACATCTTGTTGCAGTAATAATGGTATAGACTATACACAAAGTAAGCAACGAAAAAGTTATGCAGAAAAGTGTTTTCACAAAAACCCTCCGACTTTGGAATTACTTGTTATAAACGAATTAGAAGAATCTATACAACACGAGGCTGTAGCTTCATTATTACCCTATGATAATATCCGTATGAGGTAAGAATATTTTTCTATACACATTTAAAATTAAAATTTGTACACTCATATAATTTTTTTTCTTTTAGCTGGGAATTTCGTAGTCACAATATAGTTAATTTCTTGACTAATTTAATAGAAAAACGTGCACTCCCATTACCATTACCTGACTATGTAGCTAATTTTATGACAGTTGGAAGAAACGAGTTAACACTCAACCGAGATTAGTTTCAGACTGATTAATCATAAATAAAAAAAATCCTTTCAATGAAAAAATAAGTATTTAGCAAACTGTATATTTATTTAATGCAGTGCTTGTACATATAATGTAAAAAGATATTAATTTTGTAACAATTTCTGAAATTGCAGAATATACACACTAAATTGGCATAATTGTGTACAATTGTATATATATTACATTTTTGTGAGATATATATATATATGTTTGTGTAATAATAGTGTAATAAGTATAAATAATTCATTGTAACTCTGCAAGAGAAAATTTAATAATTTAAATTAATTCTTTCGATTTAAGTTAGTAAAAATAAGAAAAGTGAAAAGCACTGTATTAAATTTTTTGTATACAATATTATAATATAGAAATGCCATTAAAGCCTCTATCATATTAATAAAGTATTTTTTTAAACTTTATTCAAATTTATTAAATATCATGTCTTATATATGCTATTTTATTGATTTACATAATGCTCACTTGGTGCATTATACATATCCAAGTAATCTTAATAATATAGTTATTAGATAATTGTGTGGTTGGATGTTTTTATTTTGCAGTATGTTAGATATATCAGATATATTCAATATATATCTAACATTGTATATTATTAATATAATTTAATTATTCTCTGCATCTGTTCAACTAGATGCATCATCATCATCATCATCCTCTTCTTCATCAGATGTTACATTAGGATCATTAATTTGCACTTGGCATTTGTCACAGTGACAAACGAACAAATATAACGAGCTCAATGCCTTCTGTCTCGAATATCTACTTCTTTCGAGGTCACATTCATGAAGATAACTCGTACAAATTTCCTCACCGACTTGTATATCACGTATTGCTTTTAATACCAAAGTGCTATTCGAATGAGGGAAGTCCACCAATGCATTTGGTGTACAACTATGATTCACCGATGATTGTACAATGTAAAGACCAGATCCTTCATTATTTAAAAATGAACCTACCACTGCAAAAGAAAGTCTAAAGTTATATAAATACTATCTATACTAGAGTGCAAAATATTTTGAAGAAAATATTGCAAATTACCTTCCTCCATTTCATCATAAAGTCTATCTATCAGTTTGTCAATATAAATTCTTTGATCCTTAGGCAAATCTATTGCAGAAACATTCTTCACCCATCGGCTAAATGCACTAGTGCCAATACCTTGGCCATTTGTTCCTACCAAAGCTAATAAACTTCTAAAACCATCTGGGGTAAACCACTGAAAATCACATAATGTTAATTGATACTAATGTACATGTAAAATATGTATTTCTTTACCTATATTAATATATATATTTCTTTATCTATATTAATATATATTTCTTTACATACATGTGTAGTGTACTCAGTATCAAGAGCTGTCTGCATCATTTGTTGTAAGACATCAATTTGACCCATAAATTTCTCTCCTAACAGATTGTGTGCAATTTCATGCATATCGTTTGTAGTGCGATGACAAAATTGTGAAAAAATTGATAAAACGTCCTGCTTGTTGTTTGCTTGATTAACTAAGGCAACCATTCTAGCCAGCAACATGATTGTCGCAGTTTCTGGTGGATACTGCATTTGTTTCCAAGTTTCTTTTAATTGTATAAGAGGATGGCTATCATCCTTCACCCTTGATTGCAAACATAAGGTGCTGTGATATCTGAAAGTATAGAGTATAATAAAATATATAGTATAAAATAATAAATAATATAATCTATATTCCTAATCACCTTTGAAATGCCTCATTCTGACATTCTATACTACAATATTTTGTTCCACAACCAGGACATTCGGTCATTAAGTTTTTGTTCGTCTCACAACATTCGCTATGTGGTAGAAAGAGATTTGAGTTTCCAGTTAATCTCCGTGCATTTTCCTCAGCAGTTTCTAAGGGTCTCAAACAATGATCACATGCTAAATATCCATAATCAGAGTTCCATGAAAACTGACAACAGACTATGGGTTTTTCTTCAAATATAATATCCCCTTCCTTGAATACACGCTTGGAGAACAGTCCTTTACCCTACAAAATAAAATATATTTAATATATAATAAATATATTAATAAATAAGAATAAATAATACATAATAAATATTCCAATAAATATATCATTCGCAACTAACAGGTGACAAAATGAAAGGAAAAGTCTTTGAGATTAGAGACTATATATATAAAAAAAAAATTTCAATATCAATGAAAATATGCGGTGAATAATTTCAAATACAATTTACCTTCTCGTTGTTCACCACTTTGACAATAAAATCATTACTCTCCATAATTGCTGTCGAATTAAACATCGGCGAGCGAGAGAGAGCTTTAATAAAGAAAAATCGCCGAAATTCGTAGAAAACCTAACCCATGAATACACATGTCAATTCTCCTACGAAAGCTGTCACACGAATCTACCACCGGAATCAAATCCTTTCTGTAATCGAGAGAGATAAAAGGAACAAGACATATGTACACATTTTCTCGCAAATATATAAATATATATCTCACACACGTATAAATAAATATTTTTTACATCATTATTATAATACAATTGATAAAATCGATTCTTTCGCAGACTATCAACTGGCGGAAGTCGGTGGTGCCAAAAGCGCTCCACTTCCGCGAAGAAGAGAGTATCGGCAGTGTGAGTAATTTGTGAGTTGTAATTTAGGGCTCGCGATTCCTCGAGAATTCTGCGGATCACCAGAATATCTCGTCCTACACGAAGGCACGATGAACGGAACCATGGCCATGGTAAGTAGATTTTTCGTGGAAGGAAAAACGTGGTCTCTCGAGATCTTCTTGCCAACACCCGCTAGGCAGCGGCATTTAATGGCGATCGGGCAAAGCTACACTTTCTCAGATATGTACAGTCCGCAGTAATCTGTAGCTGATCGCGTCGTATTAATTTTTTACGTGGTCGCGTAAAATATTGAGAGTGATCGCGAATAAATTAAAAAAAAAAAAAATATATATATATAGATATATATGAAATGTTTAAGCAAGCCAATGTTTTGAAGAACTTATATTATGATGCTATTGATTTCTTGCTCTTGTTTAATCCCGCAGAATATATGTGAGCGATTTTAGTATATAATAATAGTACAATTTTAACGTCAATTGTTTTTTTATATTGTCTGATCAATAGACTTTGGATTATATGCAAATTACATATGTTACTACACATTTGTTACTTTTTGCACATTTTACGAGAGCATTGATAATGTGAAAAATTTATATTTTTAATTAATTAATATTAATTAATTAAAAACATAGTTTGTTCACATTATTAATATTCTTGTAGAGTATGCAAAAAGTAACAAATATACAATTTGTGTATCAAAAGTCCACTGATCAGTAATAGAGATACTGTCAGCAATTTTTGAAATATTTTTTATTGCACTTGCTATTGGACTTGTATTTTTTCTTTTTTTGTAGACACCAACGTCGCAAAACAGTATGGAGCCACCGACGAAGAAGAGCAAAGTAGAAGGTAAATTGCTAACGCAGCCAGATAGTCTCGTTATGCCTGTAAGAAGTGAAATATACACACAATTCTATGCTAAGTGGGATACACGATGAACACAGCAACGACAACGAGTGTAACATGTGTATATTAAGAACGAGAACATGACATGGAAATGCAATACGATACATAGTTACTTTACTTAGGACACTCGGGTGCTATAGTTTTCTCTTAAAATGCTGCCAGACTGTAAAACTGCAGAATACGTCTATTGAGAAGCAGTTTGAACATAAATTTCGGTAGGCTAGGGTAATAGATGATTGTATGGCGCTTAAATCACACTAATGTATGGTTGTCCTTCTGTTCTGAGATGTTACAGCGGAGAGACAGTACAGAATCCGTGGCCTACGACTGAGCTGTGATCATGAGCGTGCGCCAAACAAAGAAAGAGAACGCTACATTCGTTGAACAGAACAAATCAGTGTTTAACAAACTCCCACTGATACTGCATCTATTGCCGAGTACCAAATATGATGCATACTTTAGATAGGTCAGCATTTTAGGGTTTAGAGTTTTTCCAGTCCTGATAATGAGTCTCTTTCACAAATAGGCATTGCTTTAATTTTATCTTTCTCAATTAACAACGATGTATAATCTCGTTTCTCGTTTATTATAATACAATTCAGTATAATATGTACCAATTGAGAGATATTACGTTTTGATACATGTTTATTTTGCAAAATTATTATTATCAAAACAATAATATCTCTATCTTCCAAATTCTAAATATATCTAGAGGCTCGTAATCGGGAGTGGCAATGGCGAAGGGTGAATATTTTAAATTGCTATATTTCACATATTTGTACTTTACATTAGGTGACAACACAAAATCGCGATTAAGTTCTAACACTTGGACGTCGATATAGCCACTGATGATCGCTTAAAGATCCGTCTAATTGAATTCATCTTATTGTGACCAAACATATCCAAGCTCGTCGATTTCACGTCTTCTCATTTTATTCTGTCTTTCTGTTATCAACCGGGAGAAGCGCTATTTCGAGGCACATTATAACGATGTCCGAGTGATCTATACCTGAATGTGACCTGGAATTTATATAATATTTTCAATGTTACTGAAAATTTTTTAGTCGCATCCTGAATATTAATCGTGGAAAAAAAATTTCACGCGCCTGTATTTATGATTACGATCTCGCCATTGCTACATGAAAAAAAAGGTGTGTTAGGTTGAGAAATGTTAGGTTGGTGAAGGCAAAGACTAAGAATATGGCGCAGAAAATGCACTGAGAGTATTCTCCTTTGCTTTGTGCTTACAGATTTGTGCGTCGCCTCAATCTCGGATAATTTGCGCACAACCGTCATTGCTCAGCCCAGAACACGGTTAGCTGTAAATCGAATGATCAAAACAAAACTTTTAGGAATCCTTTAATTCACTTGAAAAAGTCAAACCGACTTCTGTTTTCTGTTTCTGATTTCTGTTTCAGAGACTAGCAGACCAAATTGGTTTATGATACCTAATCTAATTATAAGTAAATCTGATTTTTGGGGCTGATTATGCAAACAGTAATAATTAAACCTTATAAACTTAATATAAATATTTCTCGGCCTAAATAACTGCTAATTTTATCTAAACTTTAATATCTCGGATAACAGTTTTGGTCCGAGTTACGTTTGTCTTGATACAAACCTCGGACCGCTTCAGAAAAAAAGAAAAAATTCTTATCGTCGAATCTGCCTTGTTTCTTCCAATAGCATGCATCAAACGAGAAATTATTTCTCCGTTTCGATGTTTGCACAAAAAAAATAATACATGATTTTCATGTATATATATATATATATTTGCATACACATATCTCTATAATATATTTACACAAACACACTGACATACACACAGCCATATTTATTAATAGAGTTGTAATATATTCCTTGATCGTTTTAATTTCTGTAAACTTACAGTTCGGAGGACGGTTTTATCATAGCAGCTTCTGGCATGGCGTCACGGTACTCCCGTGTTAGGAAAAAAAAGATATTCCACAATATGAATAAGAATAATGCGCTCGCAGTGCGACTAATAAGAAGTTTCATTAATCTAGGGCAATAGGTCGTCAATTGTTACCTGAATGTACGAATTGTTACATATATATGTTATATATGTTTCCCCTCAAAGAAACTGATCAAGAAACAAATTTTTTAGATTCCTAAAATATTAGCAATTATAGAATTATTTTACTTATTGATTATTATATATTTTTATAAGTTAAATTATGAAATTTTGAAGAGTTAAAATTTTGCATCTTAATTGTAAGAATCACCCGATAAAGATTTGCTAACAAAAATCGATTCCTAATTCATAAATTGAGAATTATTAAGAAATAATTTGATGGCGTAGCGCATCTCTATATATTTCAAAATGTTGGAATATTTTTAATATATATATTTATCGCCTTTAATACGAATAGCAGTCTAACATATGATTTCTTTGTAGGAAATGCATCAGAATTCTTATCAGGCCCCATTTATGATCTCAATCAGATAGGTCAGGTTATTGCTGGTACGTATAATAATTTTATTTTATGTATTTAAGTCTTTTTTCATTAATTTAATTCGTTTTATTTTTAAAGAAGCTTGTACATGATGTATCAAATTAATAGTGACATTATAATTTCTAAGTCAGTCCAATTTAAGTAATATTGAGCATTGACACGAATTTTTAATGGACGTTTTGCTGATAAGATCTGATACAATAAATATTTTTTGTTTCTCATTTTCCTCTCCTAGAACAATCTAACTTTCGTTTTATCATTATACAGGACCTGGCGCTAAGTACCTCACATTACCTGGAATTTTGGGAGCCGGCCTACCAAAAATTACATCCGAACAACAGGATACGGTAAACAGAGCAAAAAAGTATGCAATGGAACAAAGTATCAAGATGGTCCTAATGAAGCAGACATTGGCTCATCAACAACAGGTAATTTTTCAAATGTTGAATCTATTTACGATTTATATATTTCATTTTATTTTCTGTTGAGTCATTCTTAAAATGTAACATTCTAAGATAATAGAATTGTAAACAATTTAATATGTAATATTATCAATATTTATATTTTTCAAACTATCATAAATATTTGAAATAGTTTTTTTATTATATGTATAAGAATGCATAATGGATATATATATATATATATATAAACGTATGTATGTATATTATACATAAAATATAACAATTAAATCACCAAATTTGCTTATTGAAATTTAAAACAATTGAAATTTGAAAAAATTGTTAAACTTTGCATTTATTGAAATATTGTAAACTAGACAATATTTTATTTTATAAATATATTTGTTAATTTTTGTAAAGACATTTTCATTCCAGAAAAATATTTTAACGAATAAACAAAAAAAAATAATGGATCAATATAATGATATAAATCAACATTTTTCAACATTTTAATATTAATTTTTTGTTAATTGACAGAAGCAAATTTTGGGATTACAACAAATAAATGAGCGATAAAGCATTTAATTATATGTATTGAAATATGTTCATTAGCCAATTTGGTGATTAAATTCATATAAAATTTTATTACATTTTGTTTATATTTATAAATGATTTCCTCTGTTCAGCTCTTTGCCAATTTATGTAATTGTGGAGGTCCTTGCACAATGCCAGGCAACAGACCATAGAAATATTCAATAGGAGCAGGAAATAATATCTATTTTCTTTTTCTGTTGATTGATATTTTCTATTTCTGAAGATCAATGTCGACAATGCTAGAATTTGTCCACAAAATTGGATCGAATTCTAGCATCGTGGGTCATGGACATTGGTCTTTATTCCTATCATCTGTTGTCTAGCATTGTGCAAGAGTTTTAATACACAAAGAAATTTCGCACACGATTCTGAGATATTTAACATATAGCTCATCCCGCCGAGTCGTGTCAAAAATAAAGAAAAGAAAATTGGACATTGAAATTCTGATTGGTTCGTTTTTTTTCCTACAGAAGAATAAGTTGGTCCTGCGGCAGCAAGTTTTATTGCTAATGTGCAGGTTAGTGTGAATCAAATCAAGAAAGAAAAAATAGTCTGCCTTATACGATCGATTCCTAAACGTTTTCCCGAGTTGCTCTACCATAACAAAAGGTTAGACAATTTGTTAATAATAGTCGGCGGGAGCAGAGCTGTACAACGCGAAGGAGGATACTTTTTTTCTTTTAATGAATACATGAATCTTCGAATAATTTGCACTTCTGAGCTCGACTATCTTCTGCTTTGAAAAATAATAATGAGACATAAAAATAACTTTAAATTTATTTTTAAATTTAGTAGATGTAACAAAGATAATTTTGAAACACATATTTTACTCTTTCAAGTAACAATTCATTTTATATAGAATTTTTTTCAAGTATAATAGTTTATATATTTGTGGAAAATATTTATTACGATTTATTTATACGTTATCGTTTTAAATTATATTTGTTATCATAGAAATTTGTGTACATTTCTTTAAATTATACTCTAAATTATATAAAATTATATAATTAAGCATATAAATTATGTTTTATAACACAGGTACGAATATTATGTATTTTTAATAAAATTTAAATTATTAATTGAAGAAATCGAGCCAAGAAGTTGAAATGGTAAAAGAGCTTGAGGGATTTACTTAAAATTAATGAGACATGATGTATGTAAAATGGGGGAGGGATATCAATAGAAGGCCTCTGGTCCTTTGTGTTACAGCAAATGGCTAGTCAACGGAATCAAGTGCAAAGACAGCAGGCTCTCGCCCTCATGTGCAGGTTTGTTTGTTCTTTGTTTTAGCCCTTGAAACTGTCAAACTGTGTGCAAGACTTGTCATTGTAGTCGAAGATAATACACCCGAAAATTTTATTATTTTTTAAGCATATTTTCTTATTTTACATATACTTTTAGCGACTTACAATTAGTCTATTAATAACGTGTATTATTTAAATGTTATTGATCCTTAAATCGCAAAATCTTTCTGTTTTAACTTTAGTAATATCGATAAGATCTCTAATCACATTAAAAGAGTGCGGAAATTAATTTCTTTAATTTTTAATATTATTCACATTACTATCAAACATTTTAGTAGATACATCATTATCTGTTCACATAGGTATACATATGTGTATATCACTTAATATATACGTACATTGTACATTATTCATTTTCATATTAATATTAATTTCTGTTAATAACAGTTTCGTTGTATCATAATCGTATTATAATATGTATTCTTTATTTGTATACATTAATACATATAATTCTTGCATGTTTTATATAGTTTTAAACATTATAGTTTATTCGAATCTTTTTTCAATATGAATAGTTCAATTAATTTTAAATATATTTGCATGTATTATTTAAAACGGAATTTCAATCACTTGCAAAAATTTTTATTTTAATCTTATATATAGTTATTAAATAAATAAATAATATAGTTTGTTTTTTCTTTTTATATGTACATTTTTTATTTTCTTTTTATATATAATATGATAGTTTTCATCAACATTAATATTATTATGTTGCACGAATTGTTATAATAAATTAAAATATACTTTTCAATATTCAAGATACACACACACATTTGTAAGATTAAAACTTATTTTTTAAACTTACACATGTGATAATTCTGACGTGTGAGTGATTGATATCCGAATTTGAGTAAATTACATTATTAAGAAAATGCAACTATATGTTAAAACAAGTAGCAACAATGTTAATAACAAATACAATTGTACAACAGGGTTTACGTGGGCAGCATCAGTTTCGAGTTGAAAGAAGACACGATCAGGCAAGCTTTCTTGCCATTTGGACCGATCAAATCCATCAATATGTCTTGGGATCCCGTTACGCAGAAGCACAAGGGCTTCGCCTTTGTCGAATACGAGATACCCGAAGCCGCGCAACTCGCTTTGGAACAAATGAACGGTGTCATGATCGGTGGCCGAAACATCAAGGTAGCGGGACGTACCTATATAACGAATTTCCTGTCCCCCAGCAATCCTATCATCCCGCCGGAGGTCGGCAAATTTTTATTTAGTTCTTTATTCGATATTTACGATTTTCGAGCGAGCTGCAGCTTGCTCGAAAATCTTATTCACATAATATGTATCTATTAGTATATACTTTATATTTTGTAAAAAAAGTATTTTATTTTTTTTTAAGTATCCTGTCAAATATCCTGTTTATTATACTTATTAAATAGTTTCAAAAATATGCTAATATAGTATTAGATCCAAATATTACATCTTATAGATTATGTATAATTTTCTTAGGTTGTAGGACGTCCGTCCAATATGCCACAAGCGCAATCGGTGATCGATGAAATCACCGAGGAGAGCAAACATTACAATCGTATCTATATAGCGTCGATACATCAAGATTTGACCGAGGATGACATCAAGTCAGTTTTTGAGGCATTTGGACCGATTACGTATTGTAAGCTCGCGCAGGGCAGTTCGCCGCATCGGCACAAAGGATACGGTTTCATCGAGTACGAGACCATGCAGGCCGCGCTAGAGGCTATCGCTTCCATGAACTTGTTCGATCTGGGTGGTCAATATCTGAGAGTGGGCAGAGCCATAACACCTCCGAACGCGCTCATGGGACCACCTAGTGGTACTAGCATGATGCCGACCGCGGCTGCGGTAGCCGCTGCAGCTGCAACAGCAAAGATTCAAGCGATGGACGCTGTCGCCAGTAATGCGGTTGCGTTAGGTCTCACCAAACTTGGAGCAGCCGCACCGCCGATCCTAAACCAGGGTTTGTAAATCTATTAATTTTGCATTTATATGCAAAATATTATACATATAACTAGGATGTATACTTCACGAGAAAAACCTTGAACAATCAGAGAATTCTCATGGAATTTGATTGGGAGTTAGGGAAAGTTAGGGTTTTTAAAAAATTATTCTTTTGTGTTAATGTTCTTATTTGAATTTAAGAAACATGTCTAACATATCTTAGGAATATTAAGTTTTTATTAAAATTTTATGTGATTATTTTTGATTGACAATTTATTTTTAACCAAAAGTGAGATGTGATTGCCAGTCCAATTTTACAAACCAAGGAAAAGTGAGCTTTATTGACCAACACCGGTGTTGGTCAATAAAGCTCACTTTTCCTTAATTTATTTTTAGTATCAAGATTTTGTATAAATTATAATTTTTTTAGAAAATTGTTCAATTATTTAATAGATAATATATTTAAATTAATATCTTTTATTTATTTGATAAATAATTTAATAATTAACTTTAATAATTAATTTTAATAAGACGTTTTGATCTTGAGACGTTTATAATAAATTATTTTTTGTTTTATATTTTTATTTTTATCAGGGAATTTCTTTACACAATTTGAGTAGACATTTTGATAAAAAAAATTTTAACTCACAAGAGAAGAGAGAATAATATTTTTCATCGTTTCTATTATGTAGGACTTCCTGGTGTAGTACGACCTACCATAGCACCTGCGACAATAATGGCACCACCAACAGTAGCGACGGTCGCACCGGTGATACCTCCACCTGGTATAGCCATACCGCAAACCTTAACGCGACCGCCTGCTATTATCCAACCGATTCCCGGTCAACCGGTCGTTATACCACCTCCCGCCGTTGTCGCTCCTACAATTGTCGGCACACCAGTTGTAAATATTTTATCAATATATTAAGATTAATATTTAATTAAATTTTTGCCACATATAAAAAAAATGTCACACTTATTAGATACCAGTTACAACAACCGCAAATTCCGACATTATGAGACGAGCGCAAGAGCAAGCGGCTCATCAAAAACAACAGGAGGAATTGCAAAAGAAGCTATTGGAGGAAACGGAACCGCAAACGTTACAGCAGCAAGAAAATATGTCGATCAAAGGCCAGAGTGCGCGTCATCTTGTTATGCAAAAGCTTATGCGTAAGGTCGAATCCCGCGTAGTTATTCTGAGAAACATGGTCGCGCCAGAGGATGTGGACGAGACCCTACAAGAAGAAATTCAAGATGAGTGCTCTAAATTTGGTGTGGTCGAGCGGGTTATTATTTATAAGGAGAGACAGTCCGAGGATGATGAAAACGCGGAAGTTATCGTCAAAATATTCGTCGAATTCTCTCAAATGAGTGGTAAAGTATATTTACACATATCCAGATTGATTATACTCTCATCCGAGCGTGAGAAATCTAAACTACTTTGTATCCTATTGACGATTAATCAAGTAATTATTGAATTTCATTATTTTCAGAAGCGGAACGTGCAAGAGATTCGTTAAATGGTCGTTATTTCGGTGGGCGATTGGTTAAAGGAGAGCTATACGACCAGGCCCTATTTGACAATAGCGATTTTTCTGGTTGATGCGCTCTTATATTGAGTTTATATCAATTTCAGTCGTATAAAGGAGGTACATATTTAATGACTGACACTGTGAATTTTGTCGTTAAACTACTATTTGTAATTGAAATCTCTTAGCTACGCGTTGAACATTAAAAAGAAGTTATTATATGATAACAATCATGATTCTAAACAATAAATTCGTAGTGATTAAATTGCAAAATGTAGGAATTGCACAGTGTAGTTTGAAAAAAATGCAGATTGATCAAATGATAAGAGTATCCGCGTACGTTCACACATTTTTTCTCTCTTTGTAAACCGGATCATGATTAAGTTATTTTTTCCATAGTTGCAGTTACACATACAGTTCAAGATAGTTATATATTTCTAGACGATTATAATTTTTCAAGATAAATATTTCTATTCTAACTACTCATTATATAGTATCAGTGTTATAATTTCAACGCAAAGTAAAATTTTATAGGAAAGCGTGATATATCTTAATTTACATGTATAGAAATAATAGAATATTAATAAATTGTTTTACATATTATACAATACCTATATTTATATACATTTATATACATTATACATAAACAAGCTTTACGAGATCCATATTATGTAATTTTAATGATCTTTATATGGATCTTTTGGTGTGTAATTGTTACCAAAATGTTTATACTCTTCATAAACTGGAAAGTTTCCTGGATTAGGAGGCTGAGAAGCGGATGATTGAGTGGGAAGAGTAGATTCCTTAGTAGTTTCATCCTTGGGCTTATTTTCTTCTAATAACTTTGCAGCATTTTCTTCTTATTCATCGCTATTTGATAATTGGCTTCAACTTCTTCCTGTGTAGGTGGGCCCTTCTACGATACCTCAACCAGGATTCCCATTCAGCGGGTATTTCTTGCTCAAAGTCTTCTTTGTTCACCGGTTCAAAATATCGAGGGGGTTTGTTCGTCTGGAATTGATAATATCTTCCTCGTAATACTTTGTGCCATAGTAATCTTCACCTACTAATCTACGACGAGCGAATCGAGGTTTCAGTGAAGCTATGAAATTATTCCAAATGAGTTTTATGACACCGCGTTCCTTGGCCATGGTATATACTGCAGAAAAAACAATTATATTTAAATCAATATATATATTAATTTATTTAAATTTTAATTATATAATATTATATATTATTATATTTTAATTTATTTAAAATATATATATTTAAATAAATTATTATTTACATATATGTTAATAATAATATATATACGTATATATTAATATATTTAAATATATATATATATATCAATAATATAATATACTAAATATAATAAAATGAGAAATATAACAAAAATCTTAAAAATTTTTCAATTAAACATAATTCGACAGGATGATAACCTCAAAAAGATATTATTTAAATATAATTTTAAACATACGAGAAATGGCAACAGAGTTATTTCAAATAGTTTCAAACAAATTATAATTTTACGTATATTCATGATTAAATCCCACAGAATACTTACTATTCGATATAAGCAAAAATAATGTCCTCAATCCGTTTTTAGGTTAAGATAGATATATATATATTATATATATATAAAGCCCGTATTTTCTTCTTCGTATAAGATTAGTTTTCAATTCCCGCGAACGAGTTGTCCAATTATCGACCAATCAAGGAAAGTTACTAAAATTTCTAATAACTTTTCTAGAAAGTCACTAAAATCGGCCAAACTTTCCAGTAACTTTCGCGTCATCAGAATCTTCCCTAGTGATTTTTTTGCCACAAGGTTGGCGAAACTGAAGCGCATCGGCGAAGGACAAGATGGCGGGGCGCGTGCCACGTCCGGAGAAGAATTCTGACGGGCCCGCATCGCAGCTGCGTGACGGCACTGCGATACGTCACTTCCAGGCGCGGCGTCTCGCCGCATCACACACGCACGAGACTGCGCGCGCGCGCGCGCGCACGCGCACACACTGTCAACGAGTCAACGCAGCGTGTCGGTGAGAGAGCGGTGTCGAAAATGGCCGTGCGTATCTTCGCCGCAGACTTTCCGAGAGATCCTCGCGAGCGATAGCTCGGCTACGCGAGTGTCGCGAGAACGGGAACCGCGCGATCGCGCGTGCAATAAATGGTGCGTCGTTGTCTCTTCCCCGGGAAAGAACGGCTCCCGTGAAGCCAGACGGGCGAAGTCCAGACGGTTCTCGGCTAGAAAGCGGCTACATTCCGCTGGATTTTGTGCAGCGCGAAGGGCGAGGAGGAGGAGGAGAAGAAGGAGGAAAGCGGTGTCGCGTCCAAGACCTCCGGGTCATCGCGCGAAGCCAGGTAAGCGAGACGTCCTGTCTCTCGCGATCAACTGTCATCGTCGTTCTCGTCGAACGTTCCTGCCCTAGAGGTCACTCGCCGACATCGTCCTCGGGACGAAGTCGAGTCTCGTTCACTCTCTCTCTCTCTCTCTCTTTCTAGATGCATCGAGTGTTCCCCCGTTTCTTTCTCTCTCTCTTTTTCCAGCTGCACTTCTCTGCACTTTGTGCGTTCAAAATGAGATTCTACGTATATATTCGTATTTTGGAGAGAAGGGGATTATATAGGTAGGTAGATAGAGGTAGGTGGACAGGTAGGCAACGGAGAAGGTGCAGCTGCGAAAAAAAAAAAAAAAAAAAAAAGAAACCCGTAGGTTTTATCGCGCGGAATTCTGACGACAGAGAAACGTCATGCAATAGTTTCGCGCAATCCTGTCTCTCGCCAACGTCGTCGTCGCCGAGACGTGTTCCGGGGCGTGAACGGATGAACGTGGACTCTCGGGGATTCTCGAGGAACGAGATTCATCGGTTCGGCTGACAGACGGACCCGAGGTTACTGTCAAAATTGTGTCAACCCGCGTGACCGAGCGTCAACACCTGTCGACGACTCGGACTTTCCATCTCTCTCTCTTCTCTCCTCTGGTCATCGCTCGCCGTTCGTTCATACGATTTCTTATCTTCGTTACGCTGCCACGATCTCGCGATAAATCAACGCAAACGTGGGGGCTAAAGGGGGGTTATCGATCAGGGAGGAGGGCGAAGATTACGACGGATCGTGTTCTAAAGAGGATTATCGCCGAAGCAGGACGCATCCTCCGCTGGACGTTACGTGTGCGCTTTTCCACGTACTGGTGTGCATTACTCGTGGGGGGCTCTTCCTCCTCCCTCTTGACCCCAGCAACGGTATTCCGCCGAGTATTAACGCCTAATCGAATTTCTTTCCGTTTCCTCGATCCGCGAGGAACGATCCGGGGACGTTTTGCAAGTCCTGCCCACGCAAGAATGCATTCGCGATTAAGGAGACGTTCCCGCAATCGTTCATTGTTGCGTTGTGATTTTTTTTTTTTTTTTTTATCTTCCTCTTCTTCTCTCGAAAGCAGGAACGTCGAGTCGCGAAAGAGTGAAATATGTTGGCGTCCCGTCATTCCGCATTTTTCACAATCTGATATTACGTGATTTCTCGTACATTCAGAATATTAATTAATAGGGCGGAACAATGATTGAACTGGAAAAATTGTCAATTTAAAATAGTAAAAGTTTAAATTTTCATGTAATGCTATTGTGTTAAATTACTGAAGAAGATTCGTGTTCCTTTATATCTGTGTGTTGACAATACCCACTTTATCAAAGATAGTAATTTTTTTTAGCTTATCAATGATATCTGAGGTTTCTTTAGTTTTACTTATCTTGTATCATTTATAACGTAAGTATATGCGTTTATGTGTATAAATTATATTTTACGTACGATAGATTGTTCCTTTAAAGAACTTTAAACGAGTCTTATTATACAACTTTGTATGTGCAGTATGTAATTTCCTGTTCTAAACCAATATAAAGAAAGAGAGAGAGAGAGAGAGAGAGAGAGAGAAAGATAGAGAGATCTTATGGCTGGAATGTTGTTCCACTGACTATGTCCTAGTTTTCTCCATCAGTGGAATTTCTACAATATTCAGTATTTTCAGATTGCTAGCAACACAATAATAATAAATATATTTTATTATATATTATATTGAAAAATGTTTTTTTTTTTTTTTTTTTAACAACTCTAATATATTAGATATATAAATGAAATATAAAGAATATACTTTGACTTTACAACCAAATCAAATACCAAGTTATATGAAGACAAATCAAGATAAAATCAATATTGTGCAAGCAAAAAGATGATTGGTGAAGTAATGTATTATATGTTTTTGTTCCAGATCTGCATGATATCTATATACTCTGTGTATATAATTAAAGAAGAGCAATGGATCGCACTCGTCTTATCTGTGCTCAAAGCAGTTTGAACACGATAGCAATCAATTAAGAAGTGTGGTTTAGAATTTACAAAAATGCGGGAGTGGTGCGGCACGGTCCCCTGGTATCCAGCAGGGATCTAAAACTAATATTTGTGTTTAAAGAACTCTTGATACAGTAGATATTAAAAATAATATGTGGACTGTATGAAGCTAATACATTGTTTTAAATGTACTGCTTATTACAGCACTGAGAAATAATAGTTACTGAGCTCTTTTGAGCATTGAGCAAAATAACATTTTACGAATTTAATACACAGTTATTAGTAGCTACATTTTGTACAGTTGAAGAGTATTTGGAGAAGAGAGTGTTTAAATTGTAATAATAGTCTGGTTTGAGTGTATTTGCAAATATATCAAACTCTGTAACTGCCAAAATGTCATTCTTATCGAATCTGAGGAAAGCATTCCACTTCGGTGGCAATGATGCAAAGAAGAAGAAGCTGTACAACAATATTAAAATGGACTGTAATCCAGAGGAGTTTTGGGAAATGGTGGGTGAACTAGGCGATGGTGCATTTGGCAAAGTTTATAAGGTAATATTGTCTAAAAGAACTTTCTCTCTCTAGTTTATATTAGTGTGGTTATTCTGTTTAGTCTAATATATTCTTAAACGATTGTTACTGTTTACTATAGGCACAGCACAGGCAGTCCAATCAGCTTGCTGCTGCAAAAATGTGCGCTTTAGAGGGAGAAGATGATCTTAGCGATTTTATGATTGAGATAGATATTTTGTCAGAATGCAAACATCCCAATATTGTTGAGTTACATGAAGCCTATTTTATTGAAGGAAAATTATGGGTATGTTATATTTTTTTATTTTTGTAAAAATATTTTTAGTACTTATAATAGAAATTAATAAATTGGCTATTATTTCTATGATGTAATTAAATGATTAATTACTGATTATAAAATAGAAAATAAAAGAAGAAATATTTTTTTATAGATGTTAATCGAGTATTGCGATGGCGGTGCTGTGGATTCTATAATGGTCGAGCTGGAAAAAGCACTGACTGAAATGCAAATAGCATACATTGTCAGCATATGACTAAAGGTCTTGCTTTCTTACACAAATCTAAAGTTATACACAGGGATTTAAAGGCAGGGAATGTTTTACTTACTATGGCAGGAGGTGTTAAATTAGGTAAATATCTCAACTTTAGTAAATATCTTAATAATCTTTAATATATCTCTGCTACATATACTGCTATTGTTACTGCTGCGTAAATATAATATAAACATAATAAGAATTTTTATCTTTGTAGCTGATTTTGGAGTATCTGCAAAGAACAAGTATACTTTACAGAAGCATGATACGTTTATTGGCACACCTTATTGGATGGCACCCGAGGTTGTCTTATGTGAAACATTTAGAGATAATCCCTACGACTTCAAAGTAAGTGATATTCTTATATATTACTTTTATTAGTATACTTTTTGATTCTAATTTCAACTTATATGATGTTTTTGTCGATTGTTTAGGTGGACATCTGGTCTCTTGGTATAACTCTGATAGAGTTTGCACAAATGGAGCCACCGAACCACGAAATGTCGCCGATGCGAGTGCTACTTAAAATACAGAAAAGCGATCCGCCGAAACTGGATCAGCCCGGGAAATGGAGTAAGGAATTTAATGATTTTATTGCTAAAGCACTTATAAAGGACCCGACCACACGACCTACAGCTGACGATTTGTTAAGACATCCGTTCATAAGCCGAAATTTAGATCCAAAGCCTATCAGAGATTTGTTACTTGAATATAAGGCGGACGTTGTCGAAGAAGAGCTCGTAGACGAGGAAGCAGAGGTAGGTTTTACTTTTCACCATGTATTTTACTTTAAATTCTTTATGTACATGTTAATTATGCAGATCATATGCAATGAAACTAATTTGATTAGTGATAAATTTAGTTATAAATTTATAGAATTGGATATAAATATACATAAATATATTTATATTCAAAAAATATACAAATTGCATTCACAAATATTCTATTACATAAATGAAAATCTAACATGTTCACCTTAAAAAAAGAAGAAATATTTCATTTAATAGTCTTCACACATATCTCAATTTATACTATAGTTACATTAAAATTGCATAAACTGTATACACACACACACACACACACACATACACATATATCTAAACTTCAATTTCCACATATGTAAAAAGAAATTTATTCTACAAATACAAGACGAGTTCGTGTCTTAATGCAATAGTAGGGTAGATATTCATTTCTCCATAATTTAAATAGTTATGCATTGAGTTTCTGACAATGCAAAATTAACATGTATTGCACATTGTTACATGCTTCCGTTATTATAGAAGGCCAAAAAAACGAAAAAACACAGAGAACAATATCAGCGAATTGGTAAGCTGCTTCTAACAATAATGAAGCATATATGTCGCACATTATAAAATGAGATAAAAATTGTTAAAATATGTTGATCAGATATTGTATCGATTAGAACCACTATTCCCATTTTTAATTAATTTCTAAAAAATTAAAAGCAAATTTTATTGCTTGTTGAGGATTTATAAGTTATAAATTTTTGAATTGAGATAAGAATATGAAATTCTTGATGTAAAATTGTTTCTATTTATATGTGATCTATATGCATGATGTGTGCAATCATTTCAGTTAAATAAAAATGTTGCAGTAAAATAATTGTAATAATAATGCATGCGTTTAAAATTAAATGTTGATATATTATTTATTTCTCTCTTCAATCATGAGGAATAAGTGGTTAAAAATGTCTGTAGAATAGTATCAATAGTAGAACATTCTCTATATGTATAAAATATATATTGGCCTTATCAGAATGAATGTATTTGTGATAATTGTAATTACTTTGGCTGTGCATGCGGTTCACCTGGCCCTCGCCAGCCTCATTACCCCAATATATGTCAGGTTAGTAGTTTGCGCTATCAGACATTTGTGCGCTAACGAAAAGGTTCGATTAATCCTGAGACTTGCGAGCTACATAATATACACAATCAAAACTATATGCGCTAATATACATAATATAAAAATAATTTTTACATGACGATCTTTCATGTTATAAGCTGTTTTCTTCTGAAATTATTAAAACATATAAGATAGTGATTTTTTGGTGATATTTCATTATGGAATAAATGAAGTGAAAGTTCTAAATAGTATTACATAAAATATAAAATATTTATTTTTCAATCTCATTTTAATATTTTTACATGTGAATTAATGAGAAGAATTTGTATAAGAAAAATATAAGGTTTCATTTTAAAAAGTGAAAGAGAGGTTTATATTGGAAGATTTGACAGTTTTATTTATTCTATAAAAGATCTTGTACAATTTTAATACACTAAAAAAATATTTTGTTTTTATCATAGTTTCTTTAAGAAAACAGCTTATGATTTATATAAACCATTCTACGATACATACAGCATGAAATAATATATTTTGTATCTTATATCTTTATTTTTAATGCTCTATTGTTATATTTTTTATATCATAAAGACAAATTATAAATATAACTATAATTTGTAAATCTGTGGCATTGATTTACATTTTTATCTGTGCGTCTAGTTATATATACATGTTACTTTTAGTATCTCAGTAGTGATGGATATTAAATGATTAAAAATTGAAAGATATTTTTTCTCTATTTTATTAGTTATATTCGCGTATAAGTCACGTGCATGTTAATGTTCCAGGAGCAGCGCACGTCTCAGCTTCCTCTGGAGCTGGATCAAATCACAGATGACTCCGCTCCTACGCGTCTTGATGCTGAAATTAAAAGTTAGCATTTTTATAAAATTTTACCTCATCTAATGGCTATGATATTATGAAATATACTAATCATTTTTTCGTTTTCTAGTCGCTGATAAAGAGAATATCGCATTGCCTGCGCCTCTGAAGAAAGAGGAAAGTCATAAACGTGAGATCAACCGGGATGGTGAGAAGGAGGACAAGAATAAGAGATTACGTAAGGCTGAATCCAAAGAGAACATTCAGCCTCCATCTACCGAGAAAAAGCAGGTATTTTGACATAATTGAATATATAATATACACAGAGTGTATATTATATATACTCCCGGGAAAAACTTTGAAAACCTAGTATTCTCAAGAAATTTTGTTTTGAAAAATTAAGAAAATTCATGGAATTTGATTGAGATTTGAGATTCAAGGAATTTTTTTTTAAATTGCTCTTTTGATCATTTTAAGTGTAAAATACTAAGTAAGAGTAATTTCTCTTACTTAGAACTTGAGAAATATATGTCTAACATATCTTTGCGATATTTAAGTAAATTAATATTCCATAAGACGTTTATAATAAATTATTTTGTGTTTTCTATTTTTATTTTATACTTTTGTATATATTTTTAGCGTTTAGATATATCTTTGTTATTAATCCAATTAATTTTACACTTAATAAATCAATATTAATAGAAAACATTAAAAAGCGTATACAATAAAAAAAACTTAAAAAGCTGCATCTACTATTTTACATGAAATTTTAAACGAAAATATCGAGAAGAGCAGAGAATTCTCAAGGAATTTTTTTACAAAACAAAATTTGAATATACTGTAATAGCTTATTGTATGCTCTTGAATTTGAAGAACGAATGCTAATATCACGTATAAATTATTTATGTTCAGGCACCTAAGCCGCCAAATGAAACAAGCGAGCGTAGATTATCTCGAGATAAAGGACCAGCGCCTCCACCACCACCTATGCGTCAAGAAAGCGAAGAGAAGAAGAAGAAGGACGTCGAAGAAAGAGAGAACATTTCTAAAGACGTCGAGAAGAACTTAGAAGGAAAACAGAAATCTGTCGAAGACAAATCGCAAATTAATAAGCTGTCGCAGAATGAAAAGATAGATCAGCAAGTGACAAACGTTAAAGAGCAAAGAAATTTGGAGACTGAAGATCGGCAAAATGAATTGGATGATTTCGGGAAAATAAAGAAAACTGAACACGAAGATAATGTTAAACTGTTCGATAATATTAGAAGATTTGAAAATCATCAAAAATTAATAAATAGCAAATCGAGTCCTGCTTTGAAAAAGCAATTGGGAGTAAATGAGAAACGCAAATCGGCACCTGTAAAACCAGAAATGATTGAAGATTTGTCGAAAATAATATATAAGCAATCATCATTAGAAGATAAGGATAGGTAAGTATTTTTTATTCATAATTATTTATTTTTTATTGATTTTAAATTCGAAGAAACTGAAATGAAATTGAAAGAGGAAACTTATTGTAAATTAATTTTTCAATTTAGGATGAAAAATAAATTACTATCCGTTGATGACGTAACGAATTACGATCTACAATCACGAGATAAAGAGGAGTACAAGAGTTTAGAAGAAAAGCGAAAATCCGTCGGAGAGAAACTGAACGCTGTATTGGAAAAGCGCTTGTCTATGGATTCTGGAAAGAGAATAAGCGACGGTATGGAAATGTTGAAGCACACATCGACCATCGCGTCGGCGCTCCTAAAGGAGAAGAATAACGTTAAGGCTAATTCCACTGAGGATATTAAGACACAATTTGGCCTAACAAAGACTGAGAATGCGACTGTGAAAAGTCGCAGCGCGGGATCGTCCAGAAACGATTCTCTGGAGAGCTTCTCGGACGAGTTACACGTTAAAGTGGATGATAATAGGACGGAACACGATCGAAAGGACGCAGCGAGCGACGATAAGAGTCTGGACAAACAAGATTCGGGAATTAACGTGTCGGTGATTACGTCGACGCCGCTAAAGAGTAAAAGCAGTTCAAGAAGAAGCAGCGGAGACAACATAGTCGTTATTACTGGTAAACATTTGAATAACGTATTAATTCCTAATAAATAAATATATCTTTATTTTATCTCAACTTACGTAACATTACTCACGTTGCAGGAAAAACTCAACCCGAGCAAGAAGTACGTTTAAACACTTCGACCGTCCGCATTACTTCCGACTCGCCGGACATGTCGAATAGTCTAGCGAGTAACATAAGTCAGGTCACCGTCGTGACAACGCATCCGCCTGTACTGGTGGACGCACCTTCGACGACGACAACGACGACGACGATGACGACGACGACGCCTCTTCCACGTCGCACCTCACCGACGTCGGAGGTAGTTATTGTTGCCAACGAAATGAACAAGACTCAGGTGAATGACAATTCCATTGTCGACGATGACGCATTTCCTAGTCTGGATAGTCTGGAATATACGCCGCAGGAACAGCCTATCGTACTTACCGACGTGTCTAAGAGGATCGGTAAAAAATTAGATGAATCAGAGGTGATTATAGTCAGCCCAATTGTGGATGAGTTACAGGATACCAGTCACGTCTCCGTAGTTACGGTTGGCGACGATAAGGAACAGGTGAAGGACTCTTCGATATCCAAGAAGCACAATGTTATTCGTACTGGTTCGTCTCACAGCGATCTTAGCTCGAACGAGAGATCGAGCTTGAGGAGTGATAGCGGAGACGAGGGTGGCAAAGTGATGGTCGGTGGTACGACTATGGAGCATCCGGATGTGGACGATTACGAGAGAAATGGAGCGAAGAAGATGAACGGACTAATCAAGAACGAGATCATGCCGCATCATGCCGATGATAGAATCGTGAAGACAGTTAAGCCGAAGGAGATGAACGTCAAAAGCTTCGGCAAGGAGAAACGAGTCTCTCCGGACAGCTTCGAGGGTTCCAGATCCCAGAGCGATTCTAGTTCCATTAGATCGCACACGCCGAGTAAGAGTATCGATCGTTCCGACGCCGAATCCATCTCGACGACGATCAGTCAGGACAGCAGGGAGTCGAATAAAGAGAATCGTTTGAATCAAGTTCAGCACACGGAGGTGCTCGACGAGGAAGTCGTTCTACGCCGTAAACCCGATTACAATCGCGAGATATCTCGACCGACCAGGACGAAGGAGGACATACAGATGATGAATCTGAAGAAGAAGACGAGAAAGCGTACGAGAAAGTTCGAGATTGACGGTGTCGTCGTGACAACGACGACTTCGAAGGTGATTTACGGCGACGACGAGAATGGCAAGGTGTACGACGATCAGATATTCAGGAAGCAAGAGCTGCGAGAATTGAAGATGCTGCAGAAGATGGAGCAGAAACAATTCCAGGATTTGGCGCAGAAGGCTCAGTTCAACAAGGATCAGCAGGAGAAGCGGTTCGAGCAGGAACGGCAACTCTTGGAGCGTAACGCTGAAGCGGATCTGGAAACCCTCGCCAGACAACAGAGACAGCAGATCGAGCGGGCCGAGGCGCAGCAGGAGGTCGATCTACGGCTAGCGTCTAAGAAAATTCGTGGCGAGCAAGAGAGGGAGCTTAAACAGTTTCGAGAGGGTCTGAAACAAGAATTGAGATTACTGAAGCAAGAGATAGACTTGATGCCAAAGGACAAGCGGAAGAATGCGTTTAAGATACGGAAGGAGAAGCTCGAAGCGGAACACGAAGAACGAGAAAAGTTCTTTCTGGAGAAGCTCAATGAGAGCCACGAGATGTCGCTGAGGCGATTGTCGGATAGTCATCGCGAGAAGATCGCCTTGATGGAGCGGCAATTCTTGCAGCAGAAGCAGCAGTTGATGCGAGGCAGGGAGGCGGCCATATGGGAACAAGAGGAAAGACAGATACACGAGCGGCAGCAGTTGCTGAAGAAACAGCTCAAGGACATATTCTTCCTGCAGAGACATCAGATGCTCATACGGCACGAGAAGGAGCTGGAACAGATGAAGCGAATGAATCAGAGGAAGGAGGAAGAGCTGATCAAGCGACAAACGGTGGAGCGTAGAAATCTGCCTAAGCGTATTCGCAACGAGATGAAGGCACGCGAGATGATGTTCCGCGAATCGATGAGGATCTCGATGTCGTCCGTCCTCGCTCCGGATCCCGACGCCGAGCGGGAGAAGCTGAAGAAGTTCCAAGAGAACGAGAAGAAGAGGTATCGAGCGGAGCAGCAGAGATTCGAACTGAAGCATTCCAGGCAGCTCGAGGAGGTGAGGGCTCAGAGCGACGCCACGATTAAGGAACTGGAGCAGTTGCAGAACGAAAAGCGAAAGATGCTGATGGAACACGAGACGCTGAAGTTGAAGGAGCAGGAGGAGGCTTACGGTAGAGAAATTCGTGAGTGGAAAGCGCAGCTCAAGCCCCGCAAGCAGGTAAATATCGAGCAAATCTGGGATAGTCTTGGATAAGCAGATTGTCCGGAAGTTTTATATCTTATCGATGTTTCTCTTGGATGCATAAATTGTGATCTTTGACAGCCTGGTAGTGTAATTGCTTAAGTTTTCTATTTGATTCAGTGATGTGCTTCACTTTTAAAAATGATTTTTTTTTATTTTACGCATCTGTAACAATGTGTGAGAATTTAAGTTTACTCGAAAGGTCGACGCAAACTGACGCAGAGTGTCTTAAATCTTTACTGAGGACACTCGATCGATCGGTTGATTGTTTTTTTGTGATAAACACGTCCGCTTCTGCATCCAGCGTCGCTTTGCGCGGAGCTTTTGATCTGCATGACTAATCAATAATAAAATAAAAAATTGTAAATAATTAAAAAAGGAAGATTAAAAAAGCGGGAGAGAAAGGAAATATATATTAGAATTCGCACTTCGGTTAAAGTTAAAGTTTAAACGCAACAAAGCATCGAACACTATAAGTCTGAAATAAGTCTTGATGTACCTGTTATAGAAGATAGAAGCTGATCTGGCGGCTGAAATGGAAGCATTGGAAAAGCTCTACCAAGACTATTTGCCTTCTTCTGGTCTTCTTAGTGGTCTCTCTTTTCCCTTACTTAACTACTCTAAAACCGTAATTTCCGACACTTGGAAGAGATCTCCACGCTTACCGCGTTCCACTCCCACCTCTCCGTCTTTTACTATACCTAGGGTGTCGCTAAAAATTAGTGCTTCGGACGCGAGTTCCTTCGCGTCGAACGGCACGCTTTCGCGAAGTCACTCTAGACCAGACCTAGTACCGCCTTTTCGTAGATAGTATCTGTTCTAAATCATCCTATCTTATAATAATACGTTCATGTTGCATAGGAAAAGTGTATATGTACGAGATGTTTCTTCCCTTTGCACTTCCTCAAAGGCACAGAGTTCTTCACGTATACACATTTGTAAATTTCCAAGTCTTCCCAAAGCTTCTGCGATTGGCAAGCTTCATTTCCGTGTATTGTATGCATGCATTTGTACACATTAGTATATGTGTGTTCATATACATATATATATACAGGATGTTAAAAAATTAGACAAATGAAGGGAAATAAAAGACTTCAAAATAAACATTATTATTTAACACTATTTTTCTCTACGACATTTTTAGTTTTATCCTACATACAATAAACAAACATAAGTGGAAAAATTAAATTATATTTTAATCTTGAACAAAACACGCGGAACAAATACATAAAAGTAATTCACTCTTTTTACAGTAAAATTTCTTAATTAATTTTAATACAAAAGTGACAAATGAAAAGTCATATAAAAGTAATTCACTCTTTTTATAGTAAAATTCCTCTATTAATTTTAATACAACAGTGACAAATGAAAAGTCATAAATTCATATCTCATATTATGTAGTATAAAACTAAATGCTTAGAAAAATTAGTTTTAACAAAAAATGTTTATTTTGAAGTTTTCTTTTTTCCTTCAAGATTTGTCGATTGTCTAAGTTTTAACACTCTGTATATATATCATTAGTCTAAAATAAAAAAAGTTCGTATCAGTAATGGAACATTCTTTAAATCATCTAAATAATTTTGAGACGTGTCAAATATTTATTACAAATGTATTCTTGTACAGCTTTCTTTCAAACGTTTATAAGATTCCATATTTATGTAACTTTCCTCTGAATAACCATAGAAAAATAATTTTTCCTTTACTAATTGGTGCTTTTAACAATAATGCCATAGATTTAGGTTCTTATTATTCTTATTGATATCTTATTATTTATTATATTGATTACATTGAGATGTATAGATTAGATATAGTATACATACATATCTTTTATGTGTCAATTACAAAAGTTATTAATATAACTTGATAGATAAGTAACTATATAGTTTTTGTATATGAAATAACTTGCGGGATATAGAAATATATGTATATACAGGAGGGCGTTTCATGAGGAATGATTAGCTTAATGATTATTAGATTAGATTAATGTGATTATATTAATGATTATTCTAGAACGTAATTGTACACATTATTTTAAGCAAACAAGTTTATATAAACATGTGTCCTATTTAAACAGTTATAAAGATATATAAACTTTTTTGCTTAAAATTATATGTACAATCATGAATATGGAATGCTGAGCATTCCTCCTGAAATGCCCCGTATATATTTAAAATGAAATCGTATGATTTAATATGGCATATTAATTTATTCTTCGTTAATTATGAGTCCAAGAGTAGGAAAAAATATGCACAGTTACAGTTAGATTTTAATTTCTTGAGATTTATGTAAAGTATGATCTGTGTGTTAATGTTTTTGTTTTCTCTTTCTATTTTCTTTTATTTGCATTAAATTGTGCAATTTGTAGTTGATGAGAAAAAATCTGTTGAGTAAAAAGTGCTTGAAAGAAGGAAAAAGCACTATTAATAAATTTGTATCTAATATGTATAAAAGTACAGATTCGAGCTAAAAATTAACATGGAGGAATTTATGAAAATATAAATAGCATAAAAAAGATACAACTCATGGTGTATATACATTTTTGTGGAATTATGTGTTAAAATTACATTTTGTACAACATGTAGCTTTGTCTATGTATTTCAATTTATAATCACACATACGTGTCGTAAATTATGTTATGCTTTATTGTAAGCTTTAAATGGTTAAAATTTGGAAATAACAGGGTAAGTGGTTACGTGTTAGAGTTAGGTGTAATGAACGGTTTCCTTGACGGGTTCCATAACTATGATTGTTTAATAGCATATACACTATTTTTATATTACAGTCCTTACTTGAATAATATACATATATATGATCCTATAGAAAAATCCTATTGAAAAGTTAAAAAGAGATTCCACAAGTTTCGGATTTCAAAGCTGTGTACAAAGTGTTATATCACAAGGTTAGTCCCATAATATTGTTGTAAAACATCGTTGGACCATACTTCACACGCGTTTGCAGTGATTCTGTAAATATAAAATATTCGATTTTTGTTTCCGCACACTTGTTCCCTTTTAGAGATTTTAAACACTCGCATACATAATATTATATTGCTAATTAGACACAAGATAAGTTCTACACTCTTATAATTATAATTATATTATTTCACAATGCATATGAAAATCTTCTAAATGTCTTTCTCTCACATTACAGAAACTTGAAGAGCAGTTCGCCTTACAACTGGAGGAACAGGAGGCGATTTATGGTCCTAGTGCGATACCTTTATGCTTGCCAGCCGATCTTCCCGACTTGACGCATCATACGACCGAGTCTACGCGTAGTTCGTTGTCTTCCGTAAGCGAAGGCTGAAGCTGAAGGCTTTCGAAATTTACGAGAGAACGTGTACAAAAGTATACATGCGCGCGCGTGATCTATAATATGTTTAAACGTCAAACTGTGAAACTGAATAGTTAGTACGTTTCTGCATATCGACTATCATTATGATTTCGTACATGTATATAATGTCGCGATAACGCGTTCTGGAACTGAATAATTTCTATCTAGGTGCGGCTTTTGTTTATATATTATAATATATTAAATATATATATATATATATATATATATATATATATATATAAATTGAGTCACTATGAGAACAATAGTGGTACTGTTAAAACATTTGGAAAGTTTTTACACGTTACACATTTATAATTCTTGGATATTGAGAAAGTCAGTAATTGTTCATCATGTAACTTGAATTAAAAATACTATATTTAATTGCAAAATTACAGAAATAAGTGTCGACTTCTCGCAATGATACAGAACTTCCGAAAAATGCAAAAAGAAATATTTTGTAAATTATCGCTACGAAAGCCAGTTTATACAATTTGATACTAGCAATATTTTATCTAAAAAAATATATATATGTATAGATTGTTATATAATTTATATATCATGATATAGCGATATATACATTGGTATACTTAAATTTATCCGCCCATACCTGATCTTGGAGTCTTATCGCAGTGTGAAAGACACTAACACTGGGTATATAAAAAGCATATTTTTCGTATGTATTATATAACATATAAAAGTTAACTTCGTTAACCGTCAGTTAACAGATGATAACTTTAAGAAAGGAGACTATTGTTGCGCATGTACGTATGTTTATAGAGAATGTGTAATAATTTTACAGTTATATGCAATCCGTAGGTATGTGGAATGTATATTTTCTATATTAAAAAAAGAGAGAGAATTATGCCCTTTCAACTCAATTCGAGTATGCTGTTAGGGCGTATCGCGAAACTTCTAATATTTGTTACATGTGATTATATAATAGCGATAAGAAAGAGAGAGAAAAAGTGCAGTATAAGGCCTAATACAGATCGCCTGACTTGTTTGATCACGTTTTTGAGGTATTAGATATACATAGAATTGCTGAATTATGTACATGGTATAATAATTCATGTAATAATGTTAAGCTGTAGTCACCATGTTCGATTATAGTTACGTTATTTATAAAAAAAAAAGTTTATAGTAACAACGCGAGTATTCTACTTCAGACGAATATTTTAGTAAATATCCGTATACTTAAATTACTTTGTTCCTTAAAATTCCACTATATCTTTTTAATGTGGAAATTAAATTATACGCTTGAAATTATGTCACGTAAATTGTTTAATTTCATCGTGATATTAACGCATGATATTTAATTGTTATTAAAATATGATATAAATCTTTTATTTTTATTATAAAATTAATTTTAATTTATATTTTTCTGGAAATGTGAATTTAAATTTGCATTTCCTGAAAATAATGTAAGCCTATTTTACGATAAAATCTTAAAAATTTTTGTAAAAATGTTTCATAGAAATTCTAAATAGTATACTTCTTACGAGTAGAAATAATTATTATTCCTGATTGTGAGGAACAAAGTAATCTGAGACTTTACATTGCACTAAAAATCAAAGGATAACACCAAATATATATACATTGTACGTTTGCATGGTTGTGTAGCCTGATGACATTCTTGAGAATCTCTCTCATAATGCATACTTAAAACGAGCATGCGTGGCTAATGCAAGCTGTAGATAAAGAGTACTTGTATAAAACGAAATAACTTTTTTTATTGTATAAATTGTACCGCTACGACGTGGATCAGTTTTGCAATACGGAATGTCTCCAACGTCGAATATGCCTTTGATTTTTTTTTATTTTTTTTTTTATTTTTTAAAGAATATCGAGATTATAGACTTAAATTTTAGTCTACAAAATATGTGGTCAAAGGAAAATAGATAGAAATGAGACATTCTGCATATATGCAATTATTTGAGGAGTTTCGTGTATATAGAATTCTGATGAATCGCTTAAATATTAAGGAACTGTAATCTAGTATAAATACCATCGTGTTACAATGATTGATTAAGAAGCAGATTTCTTTTTCCTTCAATAAATATTGTGTATATCTCTTTTAAGCCACGAGAAGATTAATTTTGCGAAACAATTACATCTTACTATTCCTATGCCACATATGGATCATTAACATATTAATATTAATTAATATTTCTTCATATTAATAATAAATATGAAAGAATTTGAATTCATCATGTTAATTTATTTGTAAGAGTTTATTGAAAATACATAAATTTCCAAAACCTGCGCTTTTATTAAACATTATTAATTAAATAAATATATATATAGAAAATATTTTAAATAAAAAATAGTAGTATAAAAGAGTTGTTGAAAAAACTGATTTTTTAAATATCAGTTTTTAGAAATTAAAGCTGGAGAAGAGTACAAAAGATTAAAAGCACAAAATATATTTGCACATTATAATTATTAATTATAATTTATTTTGTATAATTATAATTAATATAATTATTTTCCTCAATATTTCTTATAATTGAATTTCCCGCTTTGTCGGATTTCATGCCTGTTCGTATGAAAATTTGTCTAATTCGTGCGACAATCACTGATTGGTCCATTCCTTTTCGACTTCTGCGTGTCTATTGGTCCATTGAAAGCAGCCATTAGATACTTCATAACCTGTTTCGCGTATTTTCTTTCCGGTTAACGTCGCGGCGTCGAACCACGTCGGTGAGTGAAGAAAATATTAATCGTACTGCATCTGAGTGAAACGACGAAAATTTAAGCATTATTGCACGTAAACAAGAATCCGTAAAGTCATTATTAACATATTTTGTGTATATGAAGAAATCGCGAAGATATTTTCAATTATTTTATATTATAGTTTTGATCGTATATGACCTGACCTGATATTTAGCATGACATTCCTCACGTGTAACACATATAACACACGTTTCGATTTATTTTATTTACGTACTCTAGTCTTGCTTGACATATCTTTGTGAGGAAAGTAGAGTCGAGATTGCAGCAATTGATTGCATCTGCCTTAGGATCTACGAAAATGAAGTACAATCGGCTGGTGTCCTCCTCGCGCAGGAAGAACAGAAAGAGGCATTTCACGGCGCCTTCTCACATCAGACGGCGGCTCATGTCCGCGCCGTTGTCCAAGGAATTACGACAAAAGTATAATGTGCGGTCGATGCCAATTCGCAAGGATGACGAAGTGCAGGTGAGTCTGTCGTAACTCTACAATACTCTCTTTGCCGTATCAAATCACTCCATTTACAATAATAACGTTATGTCAAAATATATTAATAACAAAATATATATATATATATTAAAACTTGTATATCCCTTATATCTAATAAATATATATTTTATAATGTTTCATGTAAGTATACTTACTACATAATCATAATTTAATATATAAGTCTTTTGGAGCTTATATATATAAAATTATGTATAATAAATGATATATAAATTTAATATATAGATCTGCTGGGGCTTATATATTAAATTATATATAATAAATAATATAAATTTAATATATATGCCTGCTGGTGCTTATATATTGACTTACATATAATAAATGATATATAAATGTAATATATAAGCCAGTAATGTAAATGAAAGAGATTACTAGTTTATAAGTTCATGATTAAAACTTTCGAGACATTGCATTTAAAAATTTTAAATATGTAAGATATACAAGTTATTTGTGTAACATGAATTTTATTTGAAGGTTGTACGTGGCCACTACAAGGGTCAACAAGTAGGAAAAGTTGTCCAAGTTTACAGGAAAAAGTTTGTTATATACATCGAGCGAATTCAGCGCGAGAAGGCAAACAGTGCAAATGTATACGTCGGCATTGATCCTTCCAAGGTGAGTACAAAATTGCAGTTTAATTAATAAACATACATATTAAATAGATTTATATTCATGATGAATTTAACCAAATCCATTCACGTAGGATTAGATAAATAGCTAGACTTGGAAACTTTGTACAGGGTTTTCCTGTATATTTGTCGATAAGTCTCGCTTGATTTAATCAATGCAGAAAAGTGGCTCTGACAATATAATTGTTTCTTTTAATTTTGTAAGTTTCTCTCTACACAGATTCAATTTATTATTGTATTATCTTTTCAGACAGTTATTGTTAAGCTAAAAATGGATAAAGATCGTAAGAAGATTATCGATAGGCGAAGTAAAGGCAGATTGGCCGCATTAGGCAAAGATAAGGGCAAATATACAGAAGACGTGACAGCTGCTATGGAAACATCGTAAATTTTGATATTTTCTTGTGTTTATTTACAACAATAAAATGTCAAAAACAAAATTTTCAAGTTTTACAGATCCCTTATATTTAGTACTAAAATTTTTCTTACAAGTTTTACACAGGACCTAAAAGTATATATACTTAGATAAAAATATAAATTTATTTTAAAAAGTAAAGAGAATTTATCGCACGTATACGCATATATTACACAATAACAAGATTTAACTTATGCTTTTTGCACATAACGATATAAGTAATAATACATAATTCTTTTTCTTTTTCTTTTTCTTACTGCTTCGAAATTGCAAGAGCTCGTAAAATATGTAAGAACAAATTGATAATATCTAAATAAATATTAATCGTCGCCAAGATATATTCTTCAGGCGAAAGTGTCTGCATTATTGCTTGCGTATCGAAAACAATGAACAAGCAGAACAATAATGCACCTCCAATGCTTATGGCTAATTCTAGTGCAGTACTGTGAACGAAGATTTGTATTAATCCACCGATCAAGAGGCACCAAAGTCCAATGAATAATCTGTAAGGTAAAAAAAAAGGTAAATAATTGTGGTATTAAAAATAAAACAACATGAAAAAGATATACTAACCCGAATCCAAGAAATGAGAAGTCTCGTTTAGTTTGGAAAGTATAAGCTGTCAGACCGAGTAAAACCGTCAATGTTATAAAGAGAGCTTCCAAAACTGTTGTGGTATCATACATGGACACTATGATTCCCACAGTATATGCCTGCACCAATGTCTAAAATTTCCAAAGCAAATTTATATAAACACTACATACAACAGAGAAAATAATCAATCCTTCCTCATACTTACAAATGAGCTCAAAGGATTAAATTAGCAGGATGATCCCTTCGTTTTATCATCAGAGCAATCAAAATTCCCATTGTCAAGAAAAATGCTACACCTATAGTCCATGGGCTAAATAATAAATAATCAAATTAATGCTTTTTCATAAAAATAAATATATATGATTAAAGTAAATATTCTTACTTTTCCTGTACGTATAATTTCACAGTAGAGCTCATTACAAATACCGAAGCCACAACAACTGTCATCAAGAGTTGAATGCTCAATAAACCATAAACTTTTCGTAAAAAGCCTGCACAAATTATAAGTAGTGAATATTAGGTAGGGCAATACATTCTCATATTATAAATAATTACATTATAATGAGACATTTTTCAAGACAACAAACATATGTTAACTTCAAAATCCGATAACGCTATATATAATTACCCATTCGTATGTTGATATCTGCATTGTGCACATTGTTTCTGTATGCAAAATCAGTTTGTATTGAATGTTCAGATTGTTCCTTGCCACCTCGTTCAATGTCTTCTTCGACCAACATTAATGGTACAGTAGCCATTTTTATTTCTCTGAAAGTAAACAATTTGACATAACACTGACATAAGGATTAGATTACTTTCAAAGAAACATAGGGAAGGTCTGGATTTATATGCCATGCATAAAATATTAGTCAGATAGATCAATATGTAAAAAACCTTCCTTAAAATTAACAGAGAAGGATTCAATACTTTATATATTAAGAGGATTGAATTTTCTTGATGAATTTCTCTCTTTTTCAATATGTGACATAACCATGTCAGAAATTTGCTCAAAATGTCAATTCCATATGATGGTTACAAGACATACCTTGATTTTTTAAACTTCTGAGGAGGAAAATTGTAACTGCCAAGATAAATTTGCACTTTTAATGAGTGTCAATTATTTTACATCATTATATGTAAATCGATTCGATGAAAAGATACGTATGTATTTCCTTACTTCGTAGAAATATCATGTGATACTGCTAGTGCCATCTGGAAAGAATAAATTTGACAGGAGAAAGGAGACAGACGGGAAGTTTAAACAAGCACTCCGACTTTCTTAATTAAACGAAAGTAAGAATTACAACAAATAAGTGTAATTATTAAAGATGTAATTATTTAAATTCGTAGTTCAATCTTTATTTATACTTATCGCAAATATGTAATCTCTTATTCATAACCAATGTTTATATAGGACTGTACAAATAACCTCTTCAATTTATCAAAGTCACTTTTTAAATTATTCCTCGCTCCAAGATGCATCTTTTAAGTAACTGTTATTAATTATCTGTTTTTTCCTGCTTCAATTAATTTCAAGCTTTATTATATTCATTAAAAAATTGCATTTAATAGTATGGGACGAAGCCGCACACCGTCACCAGGAAGACGAGGAAGGGATCGATCCCGGGAACGAGAGCGCGACAGGGATCGACGAAGAAGACGTTCGCGAGAGAGAAGACGAAGGCGAGCATTTGAAGCAAAAAAAAAAAAAAAATTAATTTTAATTAAATTTTCCAATTTATAGATCTGTGGAACGAGACAGAGTTAAATCCAGAGACAGGGACAGGGAACGAGAACGTGAACGGGACAGACATAGAAGGTCATATTCTAGATCCAGATCGAGAGAACGTGATAGATCAAAACACAGATCGAAACCAAAACCTTCAACTAATGAACGACCCATTATCACAGGTGCTTGAATATTCACATATACATTTGCGAAATAATTCCTAGCTACGTAATGTTTGAATTGAAGAAATCAATAAAAATATTAACTTGATTATTAAGAGAAATATATTCATTAAGATATATTATATTGTAGAAGCGGATCTTCAAGGAAAAACTCCAGAAGAACAAGAGATGATGAGAATAATGGGATTTTGCGATTTTGACACTACTAAAGGCAAGAAAGTGGATGGAAATGATGTGGGTGCTGTTCATGTTATATTGAAAAGAAAGTACAGGCAATATATGAACAGAAAGGGCGGATTTAATCGACCTCTAGACTTTGTCGCATAATTCTTATAGTTCTAAGAAATTGATCTTATTTTATGAGAAAGAAAGAAGTGATCACAGACAAACTTTTAGAGATAAGAGAATATAAATGAGACTTTAATTCTATAATTAATGTGATAATTAACATGTTATCATAAACTTTATAAATGCTAGATTATATAATAAAAAAATATTTATACTTAATGAAAGTGCTACTTTCTTTGTATTAATGACTAAGCTGTAATTGAAGATTTGTATTACAAAAAAAAAAAAAAAAAAAAAAATTAAATAGTATCGAAAGAACGTAATTTTATATCTAAAAACTTGATGCATAAGATATGCAATCTTAATGTATTTGTTTTAAGATTCTGATGATCTTCTAGGTCGTTTTGAAAGCGGTGATTTCATAGAGCCTTCCGGAGATGCATCATTTATTCTAGATCGTTTTAAACTTTGCAATTCTGCAGATGATTCCATAGAGACATCATTTATATCTGCATTAGATGCATTTGGACTACGATGAGTGTTTTGTGTATCCAACTGTTAAAGAAACAAACTTAATATCAAGATCTTAAATTATATTTAACTCTCTTTATATTCTTACCATGCTAATGTTCATCTTCTCTAGTGCTTCTGTTAATTGCGTATTCTTTATACGAAAATCTCGCGTTACACTACGCTTTATGTAAATCTCAAGTGGAACCTAGTTAATGAATATACGAATATCATAATTGTTTCTATTAATCTTGATTCATATGGCTTTCTCAGTATGCTATATTAATTTTTTAAATACAATACTTACTCCAGTCTTTTTATCAAGCGATAAAACTTCTTGATGAAAATGTTCAATTTCAAATATTGCACTGGGTATAATCTTGGTCTCTTTCAAAATTTTATTTCTTTGTACATGTGAATCAGCTTTTAACTTTGATGCATCTTGATTTCCCTATATATATATAAATTAAGTAAATAAATAAATGTGATTATATATATACATACACACACACACACACACACACATATATATATATGTGTGTGTATAATACTTTAGAGATTTAAATACCTCAATGTATGTTATTAAATTATAAAATGCAGATTTTAATGGTTTTCCGGCCGATTGAATTACTTGAATAAATCTGAAATCATATATAAAATTAAATACAATTGAATTTATAAAATTCACTATTTGTGTAATAAGTCTGATAAGAAAGTCTTACTTGACTGATTGAAATGCTGCGTTTTGCTTACTGGACTTTCCATAGAAATATTTTGTAAGATTGCCAAGTATGTTGTATAAAATTTGCAAGTTTTTGAACATAAAGTCTGTGGGTGGTCCTGGTTTAATAGCAACGTTGGCTAATGTATAAAGTATTTGTATAATATGCGACAATTGTCGACACAAACTGCGTTCTTGCGTTCTCAGTTTTTCTTGATCTGTATATTTGACAAAATTTTTATTGCATTATTATCAAAGAATACCATGGGCGTTCACAGGAGGGGCATGATTAACATTTTTTGTTTCTTATTTTTCGTTATTTTAATTTTTTTTATATGTTGGAAGGACCATGAAAACATATGAAATTAACAATAATATCAATGCAAAATAAATACGTGTTTCAAGATCCGTGCCAGGTGGACAGACTATATTTTGCTCGGCCTTAAGCCTCATCAGTAACCAAGATACATTGTCCAACTTTTCTTTTACTGAACTGCTTACCAAATTGTAAAGCTGTATTGCTATATTTTCATGGACAATTTTCAATGTATCATTTTCTGATTGTTCAGTCTACACACATAAATAATATTTAACATCTTCCCTCGTGTATAACAGCAAGATACATACTGCAATGAAATATTATATATTGTATTTTAATCATATATACCTCCTCGTCGATTTTACCCACTTTCTCGCACAATGCAAGAGCAATATCAATTAATAATTTGCTATGTTCTTTATTATGTTCTTCTATCCATAATAGAATTTGGAAAATAGTTAAAGAAGCTTGAGACTCCATATTTTCTAATTGGGTGAATTTCATCATCGAGTTGAATATCTTAAAGAAAGAATAATATTTCATATCCTATTAATTTTTAATTTATTTATTAAGTGATTATTGATTTCAAAATAATACTGACTTCATCACCATTTGTTTCGTGAAAATTAATCTCTTGCGTCAGTTGACGTATAGTATCCAACAATATGCCAAGTATTTTTTTGGAATTTTCCTCATATTCTTCCCTTTCGCTAAAAAACGTTCTGAAACTCGCTCTTAGAGCAGCAATCATGTTCTCTAATTGTCCATTAATATTGTCTGATTGAGTTGATCTATTAGCTGTAAGAAAAAAATTATACACGACGAAATTATATAGGACACATTACATATACACATGTGACAGAAAATGCTCTTCTCTCTTTAAGATACTTTAGATACTTACGAATAATAACATTGAGGAATTGCGGCAATTCGGAAGTGAAGTACACGCAAGTTAAACAGCATAATTCTTTGAAACATTCCAATGCTAATATAGTGCCTTGTTCATCTGCATCGAGAGCTTTCTTTATATCCAATACAATATAATCATACAATAATCTGTGCAGTAAAAAAGAGGGCTTTAGGATTCACAAAAACATAAATGTGACATATAATATATTTGCATGTTTCTTACTTTCCAATGTCAAAATAAATCTTCATATGTTGTTCTTTATGCTTCCGTAAATTATATTCTGTCAAATGTTTAACACTTTGTAAGATTTGCAGTAGTATTCGCAAGATGTAATGGTAGAAATCATCATGTTCTATCAATATATCTACTTGATTTTGAGTCGTCCAAGGAACGGATTTCCTATTGTAATAAAATTATAATAAGATTTTTATCAATTGTACATAATCAAAAAATACTTACAAGTAGAAGAGCGATAAACTTTTGTATACGGAAGATAGATCTAGAATAGTAGACAATTGCTTTATATTTTTTAGTCGTCCAGTTTTTTTTATTGTTGTATTATTTGGGTCGTTTGTGACTTTTTATTTTTGCCTTCTCCTTTTTAGTCTTTGATACGCGCTATGAGGATGAAAAATTTTATATTAGACTGATATATTTTTATTATCTTTTATCTTTTCTTATATATCGTATATTTTTATTACCTTGGTACATTCTACTACTTTTGTGTATCCTTTGAATAGATTTTTAACACTTTGTGCGGTGTCTGTGCAGTTCACGGACCACGCACCGATCCTATATGACATAAGAGCTTCATAAATCTTGATCGTTAATAAAACATTTTGTATTTTTTCTTGGTTTTTGATACTAGAATTGGTTAAATCCAGCTTGTCATCCTAATAAGAAAACAGTTAGATATTAAATAATTATAAATAATAATTTAAATATTTAAAATCTAATCTTCTATTAAACTTACCAAGTTTAAATGTTCTATGTCAAGTCGCGCCATCCGCCTGCAGAGAGATTCTAAAATCACAGCCAGTTCATCTATAAGGGATGATTTTATTAGAGCCGACTTGATATAAATCTTTTGCAGTACAAATATTAATTCCGCGAGAGGTTCTTGCAATATAACTTCCTCCCCTGTACAGCTGTACACAGATCCAGTTTAACCGGAATCAGGACATTCTCGTCCGTTTCAAAGAACATTTTAAAATGCGGCAATAACATTTCCAATACATATTCCGCTACCTCAGTGTTCGTTAATACGGCTTCGTATAAACCTAGGCGATCAAACAAAATTAATTATATTAATATTTTAATATATTATTAATGATATTAATTAATTGACTAGATGTGAATTAATTTAATATAAAACAAAAAATATGTAATAATTTCTTTTATTTTGCGCACCGTTGTATAAATGTAATCTAACTTCGCATTCATGAGTAAAGCATCTTCTTAAAATACCCAATATGTCGTAATATAAACTTCTATTGTAAGAAGTTTTTGTTGCTTGAGTACCTCTTTCTAACGTTACCTGCAAAGCAGAGAATCTTGTATAATAATTTTATGGCATTGTAAATTTTACAATAATAATTGAGATAAATGTTAATAAAACCTGAGTCAGAATGGATGCAGAACTTGTGCCAGTCGACGACGAATTGTTAATGTATTGACTCGAACTCATCGCGAGGCCACTTAAAGAGTGCATCTTTAAATTTTTAGCATTTCTAAAATCCCGCTAACCGCCATTTGTCGATTTGCCGTACCTTTTCTATAAAGAGTCTTCCTCAATGTTATTATCAGATGTTCTCTTATGGTAACTGAGACTTTTATCAATGGAAAGATCGCAGAAACGATGAAAATGGCAACTTCTCCGGGAATAAATGAGATTTGATCGAGAAAAGTTATTACAGAATCTTGATGGTCCAACATAAGAACAGTTAATTTCTGGCACATGTATGTTAAACAATCTATAAATACATAAACAATCGACATTAATAGCTGTTAATACTTTTAAATTGCGATTAACAATTATATTTTTTACATCAGAATATTTAAAAAAAACATACCAGTGTATTGAGAAATACTCGATCCACCCGCGATTATCTTATCGAGCAATATTTGGAATACTGTCGCTACCGTTTCATGATGTTTTTTCATGATCTTTTGAAGTATTTTCATAGCAACTTTCCATAAAGGATGAGTGCCAGTTTTTGACTTATTCTCTATAGTCATAAGAACAAATGCTAGGTCTACAAGACCTTTCAATACTAAATGACGATCCCTATCACTGTATATTAAAAAAATTCGATATTAAATTATTTCTGACATACTTATGCTATATATTTTTACCTTGCTTTGATGACATTTCCCATTATAGTCATTATACTACAAGAATCAGGAATCAACTTTCTCAACCACGCGCTATTCTTCCGTCTGTCGTCATTTTCCTTTTGTTTGTTAATGATTGTTCGTAGCATTTCGAAAATCTATAATGTATATATTAACCCAATGATGTTAAAAGCATAAACATTAAAATGTGTGGAAACTAATGTATTAATTTAGCACCTGATTTTCATCAATAGAAGCAACTGTGAGTAATACAGAAAGCATAAAAGGTTCTAATACAGCCTCAGGAACATATGTCACACTTTTGAAATACTTGATATAGTCTCTTATGTGCTGGTGATTCAATTGTGCTGCTTGATATATGTGATATAATACTGTGCTTTCAGTATCTTGGATTTCCTTGGGATTTATCACATCTATAATTTAGCAATTTAAGATTAAAATAAAGAGGTACGCATCAAATTAAATTTTATATAACAAAATTTTATGTATATTTCAAATTACTACATATATTAAATTTTCTTACCTATAGTCTCAAAGGTATCAATACTGTCAGAATTAGCTTTCGAGAAACATAACATAAAATATCTTCGTAAGGCCTCCAAGAGAAGTTTACTGTCCTGATTAGTACACAATCTTAATGACTGATGCACAAACGGAGGCACCTCTTCCAGAGGTATATCTTGCATTCTTGTGCAAAGTACTGTAATTACTGTAGTATGATCCTCCTTTTGTAAGCTTATATCTCTTAAATAAGAAAAATCATCAATTTAGTTATTATGTATACATTTATTTTCCTAAATAAAAAATCACAAACATATTTACCTAAACATTTTTGTTAATGAAGGCATTATTTCTGTGTTCCATGCACTGTTGCATATATTATTAACAATAATAGACTTATATTTAGAACCAGTAACTTCACCGTTCATATAATTGATATATTTCTCTTCTTCTAATACTTCCAATAGAATGGGCAGTAGATCCTTCCAGCTGAAATATTCAATGAAATCAGTTCCTCGTAAGCTTTAATTATATTAAAAATATCTGTCAATCTCTTACATACCTTCTAAACTCGTCATCATTATTGTGAATACTGGCAAGACAGAAATCTACTAGTTTAAATAAATGCAATTTTGGATAGTTTGGAAAGTCCTCCACTACTCGATTTACAATGTTGTTCGCATGACTGATCGAAACTTTGGCTTTGCCTAAAGCTTTCAACGCAGACTCCACCAATTTAAGTCTCTTCGAATATAATTTATCCGATTCGGAGCACACCTGCAAGATCTCGTCCAATATCTTGGAAATGCTCGGATCGTCAATTTCGTTCGATAATAATTTCGCAAGCTGAAATTTCAATAAATTTCAATAAAGGATCGGTATAACTTTATATAAGATTCATGTAAATATGCATCCTCACCTCTTCGGTCGAAGTTTCTTGCACGAATTCCTGTAATTGCTTTCGATCCTTTTGATTAATCAAGCTATTAAGTTTTGCGCTCATCTTGATTAATTATTACAATTATATAGCAGTGCAATATGATATCTATAATCAGCAGATAAATGCGCGTCTTTCTTTTCTCCGACTCGCTGATGACATTCAACAATATTTCCCGCCCTTGCAATCTTGCAAACACGCAAAAAAACTAGAAAATTTCTAAACTCCCCATAAGTAAAATCACTATCAGGCCGCTCTCAGGTTTCTCTCTGCTCTAACCTTCGATATCCAATCGAAACGTCACTATCCTAGTAATTTTCTAACTTCCCTGGGAATTTATTCAAAATCTCACCACTAGATGACGCGTAAATTAATGTCATAAAGTGTATATAAATACTTCGGAGTACAAATAGACGAGGCACGAGGTACACATAAAAAATGGCGGATGACGACGTGAATGGAGATTCTGATGATATACAGCAGCAGGAAAGTCTCAGAAGAAGGCAGCCAAATATGACAGCGGCGCGGCTGATTTGGAGAAGGTGACCGATTACGCCGAGGAGAAGGAGATCTCATCCTCCGATGGATTTTCTTGCGTAAGCGTGGGTCTTCGTTTGCACGTGTATCACTCGATCACGCGTTTACATTTCTTGTTTTTTATAACTTGGAATGTATGAAACAATTTCTCAAATTCATTGCATCTTTATTCGCTGAAACTGTATATTTTAAAATAACAAAATAAACTTCGATCAGAAATACTGTCGCGGATAATTAAAAATGTAACTTACTATTTCATATTTCGCGTTATTTAATTTTGTATTTTTTACATGTATTAATTAATTTTGGTTCCTACATTAAAAAAAATATATCCAACAGGCTCTCAGTATAATTGGCGATCGCCGAGATAAGGAAGCTGCAGAGAAAAGGCTAAGGAAAAGGAACTGCTTAAAGTATCTATAAAGAAGGAAGATGTCGATTTAATTGTAAGTATAAAACTATTATTTTGTATAATACATGTTCTTTATGATTGAAAATTTGAATTAACAGACTGAAGAAAAACTTATCTTTATTTCAGATGAAAGAGATGGAGATCAGTCGCATTTTAGCCGAACAGACACTCAGGGAACATAGAGGAGATGTAGTAGAAGCATTAGTAACCTTAACTAATTGACATATAGGATATTAACTATTCTGACATACAAAACTTTAAATTCCATTGTAAATTATACAACCTTAGATGTAGATTTCGATTAGAAATCTTTAATTAATATTTATTGTTATATTATATATATATATATATTTCTGTATATTTTTGTCAGTCTCATGACTACGAAGAAATTTCTCTACTACATCTATAAAGAAATAAGTAAATAGACATTTATATATTCATTTATACAGATACATTTCTAAAGAGCATTCATTAAAAGTACTATGGGTATATTTACCAGAATTATAGATGGGACTTGTCATTTTGTGATTATCGATATAAGGAAATACCTGTTCCTCTTTAAAATCCCTGATTACGAATGTTATCATACATCCATAGTGATAAGATTAATAGTATGGGCATAAATATCATTCTTTAAACAGTACAGCGGCAGAAGTACATTTGTATTGAAAATGATCATTTATTTTATCTTAACATGTTTACTCTTGTGAAAGTGTTCTTTTGTCCGTAACAGTATTGTTTTACATACTTACGCCAAATCATGATTAAGTGTTAATTGTTTAGTATACAAATGATATTTGGATACTCTCAAATGTTGGTTACTCACTCATCTATATATAAAAGTGATGTCATGAAGTCATTTTTATTGGGATATTTATATATTTTTATATTGTAATATATCCAGTCAAGAGTTCAGGTATATAACATCTTTATATATATAGTATTACAATAGTTTTATTATCTTGTCATATTTTGATATATATTACAAAGTGCAAATGACTAATTGTATATATATCAATGATAACAAAAAATATTGACTTTTTTAACAGAATATATTTCTGTATAAGATCAAAATATTGATATTTTCGTAGATTTGGTTACTTCCTGGGAGATTTCAAATAGCTACATCAGTTTTGATAACTGTACTCAATGTAACGTCAAACCGCATGTGTGTAACTGTTTGGAGGATCGTCTTGCAAGTGAGTTTACATCAAAACTTGCAAATATAAAATCTTTTTTCCATTTTTTAAATACCTATAATTGTTTTTCTTTTTGCTTTTTGCAGACAAATGTCTAGTCTGCTGTTCTGATGTTTCATGCTGTTTCTGTTATGATTGTACTTGCAGGTGACAGTATATTGCACATATGTTATTACAATCATATCTCTTGTAAATATCAGGATTAAGTTATCTAGGAAACGAGAATTTTTATTGCAGGCAAAACAGGCAATTGATAATAATGACGCAGATCGCCATTTCCATATTGTTCACGTTCGGCTTCCTCGGCTTGATCATAATTTATTGCAAAATATGTAGTAGGTATGTATAAATATTGTTTCACTTTTCTGAATTTTTCGCCATTTCTCGATATCATAATAAAATGGAACTGTGATAAACTTAACAGGATTATCACATCCGCTGTAAATATAGCTTTGTCTTCCAAATCTTAAATCTATTTCTCTTAATCTTACATATTGATCTTAATTAATTGATAATAATTTTATCGTATCGACACAGAATCGGCAGATCGATGACATCAGAAACGAAAAAGCAATGTAACTGCATTGATGAGCATTGTTCATATTACAATTATTTTCTAATATTATTGTAACATGATAACATTTTTCTCATGTGATTTATCAAGCTCAAAATTTCTGGAGAATATTTATCTCACGATTCAATCACATCCAGAGAATTTTCTGATTTTTTTTCTTCATTGAACATCGAAGATGAAATAATTTTCTACAATTAATTCCGTAAGACGAAATATTTCAATGTCTCCTCGATTTTTACAGGACCAGACGACAAGTTACACGTGGAAGATGCATCGTGTTGCAAGAACAAGAACTTGATAGAACGAACTGCAGTGTTATAGAAGATCTAAGGGAGAGACCACCTCCATATAACGAAGTACCTTACAGTGCTCCTCCTCTTTACACGTCTCCCTACAACAGGGTAAATACTTTACTACGTGTTTAATCCTAATTATGATAAAATACTTGTGCGTTTTCACGACTCACCGCGATATGACGAAAGATAAAATGTTAAATTCGTTTCCGGTGATAAAATACCGCCGTCTCTTTACAGACGTCCATGCAGGAAGCTCCACCGTCGTATCCAGGAACTCCGAAACCGCAAGAGAGATCCGAAGCCACCGAGCAAACGCTCTCGAGACATTCCGTGTTCGTTGCTTCTTCCATAGCTCAACACATGTAATGTGATATTTCTGTAGATATTATAGGTAATAATTACCTACATATTTGTACAGATATGCTATTTTAATTATTATAAAAAGCGTAGAACGTCTATAAATTTAGCTTAAAAGAAAGTCTTGTCGTTTTTATCGTAGTCAGGAACAGGATATCATTTGCATGCGAAGAATCCTACGAGTTCTTCAAAATTACCTTGTCATTTTAGAAACATTTTAAAGAGATTTTTAAGATTTACAATTTTTTACTAGTCGCAATAAAAAAATACGTAAGTCTTTTCTTATAATTCAGATAAACGCACGCAATGTCGTAATCGTTACAGGCAGTGAAGGGTGATGAAAATTACGCTCCACAATTATATAATGAAAATGTCATTTATTTGATGTGGTGCAATGACTTAAAGTAAAATGGAAAATGAATGTCTGTATGAGCTGGGTTTAATGAATGGCGCGCGCGTAACAATTTCTCGGAAATCAACCACTACCGCCGCCGCCATTCATCGTTTTACAAAAACGCAGCGCTTTGGATTTTTTTAAATGCAATATACAACGGAAGTGTGTATGTCTGTGTATATATAATATGTGTGTATATGTGTGTGTATCAGAGAGCGGGCGTGCGGTAGCGGCTAAAATTATAGCGGATGGTGATCGTCGATCGGTCGCCAACACGCGCCGGCTTTCATCATGATGAGGTAACATTTGTCTCTTACTTGTACTTAATAGTTTATCAAATTATATATCCAGTCATACATTCATATTTATTCTTGTTGCGGTATTCTTGCACGCGGAATTTGCGCCTATATCTGCGTGATTTTTTCTCCTTCTTCATCTTTGATCTGTACTTTTTACGGATTTAGCTATTTTATTATCGAAATTTGCTTTTGCTCTCCTCACTTTTTTCTTTCGCGTTACGCTTTTTCTTTCTTTCCTAAGAAAAGACATTCACGAACGTGATACGTGTGTGTTCCACGAAAGAAATCGCCGCACAGTCCCAAAGATAGATACGAGAATTAGAAAATAGTCGTGAATTTTTAAAATATGAATGAGTAATTCGCCAAAGTCTGTTCCTTAAATTTGCCGCCATACTTAGCTCTCGTCCCTATGATTTCTCATCTTATTTAAGTCCTATTAAAATCTAAGACTCAAATAAAGGGATATTGACGTAGAAAAACAGTGGAAAAATGCTTCTACACTACATTTCCGTAATCACAATTCAACTTCTTTGATCTTTGACACAGTCGCATTATTTGATACTACTACAACGAATGTGTACACTTCTTAATCTGAATGAATTTTGTTATGTTATATTTAATTTAAAGTATTGGTAGTGCGTTCAAGGAACAAGAGTTTAGCTTAATCTGTAAAATCGAAATAAATTATATGCACATTGATTATTATTGTACGGTTTTGTAAAAGTATAGGATTTTTTTCTCGTACATAGAGATTTGCGTTCAAAGTTCTTATATAAAATACACAGCAGATATGTACAGTGTGTAAAAATCTTAAAATCGAAAGTGACGCGCTAGATTTGGGACTGTCCGGATAACGACTGCATCGCTTATTGTAATGTATTTTGTATAACAAGTAAATATTCACTGGCTGCCAGGATCGTCAGGGGAAATCTGTCTCTAGAAAGGATTGATTACACACAATTGCAGTAATTACAGTGGTCTTATCACAGAACATGTATGGCATTAATTGTCATCATTAATGATGTGTAAATGGTAATAAGCATTTCACATATTTAAAACTCGGGTTCTCTCGATAAAGCTAAAAAGATCGGAGGATCAGGAAGCCAGTACTAAACGATCGATTATTATTTTTGCCTCTTGTGTGGTTGCCCATAATTCAGTTCATTATCCATACATAATTTTACAGCTCAATCAAATTAATGACAAATCAAGGAAATAAAGAAAGACGAAAATTATTTAACATCGCGCTACAAATTGACCAACGATTATTTTTACAATTCTTTTAACCTGATTCTTTTCTTTTTTTTTGTATTTTCTCTCATCCATTTACAATTAATAACGTGCCAACTTTAAATTGCGGATCGTAATGTTTCTAAAATAACGTAACGCAATCAACGTGCGTGTGTGGGAATATACAATAGACATTCCCACGATATTCAAACATAGATCCGATAAATTATGGACAACCCTAAATTTAATAATATAATCATTAATAATAATAATTAATAATAATAATAATAATAATTCGATTCTATCATTTCACTTACAGTATGCAATACTTCAGAAAACAAGACAAACTGTGCCTACCGAAGGGGAAAGGGGATTTGGAAAATTGGATCAGGATTTATCGCCGCAAAAAGAGAGGAGAGGTTGGGGGAAGAACGGGAAGATATTTTTATACTTGTAGACAAAAATATACAAAAATACACAGGGCACGGATTGCGTAGCGTTAATAGTAATAGTAATAGTAAATAATAATAATAATAATAATAATAATAATAATAATAATAATAATAATAATAATAATAATAAAAATAATAATAATAACCGTACATATATATGTTTCAGAGAAAGAGATCATAAAAAAGAACACTAACTAGAATGATTTCTCCGTCTTGGAAGAGTTTGAGACGCGCTAGAACTAAAAAAAATCACTACTATCGATAGAAACAAACAAAGTATCTAATTCTCTCCGTGCTGCTCGACGCGTCGAGCGAACGGGGACATCCCCGTTTGATCCATCATTTTCTTTTCTTTCTTTCGACAAAGGAACAAAATATTTAAATCGTCTGGCCGACGTCTATCACAACTCCCTTCGTGCATCGCGCTTGGTTGTCGTTGCGGCAATTTATGGCGACGAGCCACGTGGAGAGAAACTCCTCGCCTTCTTGGTCCTCTCTGGCTATATATCCTTGAACGTCTCGCGCGCGGCCGTGCGCTTCCGTCTTCATTCGCTGGTAATAGAAACGAAAGCAAATCCACGATGATGATGACACGTTCCTGGTGACACGTTCCATTGCGTCACTGAGAACTGATCGATTGGCATCGGCATTGGCATTGAAGAAAAATGAACGGGTTTTGTGCCCGATCACGGTGCTACGGTGATCAATTCGCGCGCACAGGCCGGTCGAGAAGTACGATACGTCTTCTGCTGGTGGGATGTGAGGATGTGAATGTGGATGTGTAGATTTTTCGGAGATATTTTCTCTCTTTCCTCTCCTTTTCGACGCTGCGCGATCACTGATAGTGTGATCGTGTCATCGCCGAGTTTTCTATCACTACCGACACTCACTTGAACACAAGAGTCTAGGGCACACGTGTTTGGAAATACGCTTCTTTGAAACTCGCCCTCGACCGACCGGACAGACCAGACGGTTCTCCTCTTCTTCCCGTCGATCTCCGAACATTCTCAACCAAAGTTCGTAGACAGTCAGTTGGTTCTCGCGTCGGTTTTCCATAAGTGATTTTTTTCATTTTTTTATTCTTTTTAGACCAGAGGGTGGCGCACTAGGAAACATTTATTTAGCACTACTATTATACTTCGTTATATCACTGTACACAAATGTTCAAGAGGGATGTAAAAGTGGTGGGGGCGATGTGGAGGTCATGCCCTGGGTCAGCGGTGACTGCTTTCAGCTCTGTTTCACCCGTTTCCTGGGCGGTCCGACCGGTGGGATTTGCTGAGTTGCCAACGCCCGGAAAGCTTCCGCTATTAGGTGCGGGTGGGAATTTACCATGGACTTGAAACCTGCTGTATCCATCACGTCAGTTGCATGTCTGCAAGAAGCGTTCGCGAATTAATTAAAGATGGCGAGATCAGTTGTGTATAGCTAAAGAATATAATTTTGATCCTTAAGGAAAACAAATTATTCATCTTTTTTTAATTGACGACGAGTCCAGATATCATATTTTGCGACACTTACGTATTAATAAAGTCTATCGCTTGCTCCTTCAGTTGAAGAGCGCTATGGAGATCGGCAAGTATGAGAATTTCGGCCGCGTTCTCGATGGCTAAACTCGTGCAAAGTGCTTCCTCGCACATTACTTTTAGCCTCTCTAACGCATATTTGTCCGCCGCAGCCAATAGATCATCCGCCATCTTCTCCAGATTTGCCGCTTTACCGGTGTAAATAAATCGCAGCATTTCTCGTAACACCTCGTGGTCTACGTCAGTGATATCCACACGATTTTGCTTTCTCTCCTCCATTTCATGTTCGAACATTGCTGAGAAAACCGGACTTCGTGCTGCAAATAGTAAAATGTGAATCAGATTTCATTTTAGAGGTATCAATTTATTTGATTGATGAAAGTTCTTTCCTTCATTCATTCATCGGATTCTTGTTTTTTTAATTTCACAGTAGGAAAATTTGTTTTTTTTTTTGGTAAAAACGGTCCGTTTGATTTGTATTAAATATTTAACACATTTATGTGTTAATTTAAAATATGCTGTTGTGTTAACTGGACTTGAATGTTGAATTATTAAAACAATTGAAAAAAGATGTAAAAATAATCCAATGTGTATCTATTTTTAATTTTACACAATAAATATGTTTTGTTTTATTAGTGACAAGATTTATCTGTTAAAATTTACAGAAAAAATGTTAATTTTTTATTTTATAATACAATTGCGGCTAATAAAATTTAAAATTGACATATTTTAATTATTGTTACACAAAATAACATAATTAAAAAATTATCACAAAAATTTCTGTGGGCCGTTTAGAACATGAGATATCTCTTTAAATTTAACACAAATTTTTCAACTGTGTTCTATTTTACATTTAAGCACAATGGAAAGTCTTGATCTATCCATATCAGTAAACGTTATTATATTGTAAACGAAGGTCGCAATCGATTCTCACCTGCGAGGATCGCCTTGTGCGCGTGGAACTCTCTTCCGCAGACGGTGAGCGTTACGTCGCTAAATTTTTGGTTCTCAAACAGCAGCCCGAGATCGTCGGGCAACCGGCACTCCGGTACTTTAAACTGTGTCGTGTTACTCTGCCCGGAGATGTTTACGCTGTCTGCCACCACACTGACCTAAAGGAGATAATAAAGTTATGCAGATATAATGAGACGTTCAGCGCAACGAGATCTCGAATAAGTGTGATAATCGACATACAAAGGTATATACCTCGCAGAATATCGTGAGTTTGTCGTCTGGTAGCAGTCCGTTGGCCTCGTCCAGAAGAAAGTCTCTCCTAATGAATTTCTTGAAGCCCCAATCTTTACCCTGGACAAACCTATACGCACGTTGACTCTCTGCAAGAAGGAATTACAAATTTAATAAATGTCTTGTAATATATATTTCTAGCTCGTTGAAATTCAAACTCGTATTTCACGTTGAAAGGCTTACTAAATTGGTAATTATATTTTACATTATATAATAATATATATTAGCATTTCATTGAATTTTGTTTCATCAGTATTTTCTTGCATAAATTCATCACAATGAGATTGCAAAGAAAAAATTTAAAAAAAAATGTAAATTTTACCTGTAAAAAATCCATCATAAAAAGAAGGCTTCTTCTCGTACAAACACTTATCACATAAACATACAATCCACTTACCCATTGCTTTGGTTTCTTCTCTTTTGGCATTAAGAATAGAAAATTTAAACTTTGCTCTGACTTCAGATTTGTTGCACGAAACGAGAAGGAGATACAGTGACAAGTAGTCTTTGCTCTCCTCATCCAGGCCTTTAGGATTCACTCTCAAACACCTAGAAATCAATTGTGGTATAAATTGACAAGATTAATTGCCATTTATTTCGTCTTTTTACGATATCAATATTAAAATTTAAAAAAAATTTATCTCAATTGGAAAATCGATTTGTTCACAAATTGACACCTCGTTACTTAAAATTTTCTCGAAATTACATCAGTATATAAAAAAAATGATTTATATTCTCTTCGTTTATTTTGACTTTTAGACTCACTCTTCTTTTTAACATTTTCAAGCTACGTTTCATTAATAATCGATAGACCATTATTACATATTTATATGTTATACTTCGGACTTATTCGCTCAGCGCTAAATAAACTTGTCAATCAATGCAAACACGTCTGCTAATCTCACGATTCAATACGAAATTGCTATTGATATGTACAGATCTCGTTTATCTCTCTTAATATATAATGCAAAGAATCTTAAATTTTTATTTCCTCGGATCCGTTCTCTTACGAGCGATTAAGTTTGCCAAGAGACTATGATCGATGATGATTATCGATGATGATGAAGATGATGATGATGATGATGATGATGATGATGATGATGCTATTCTTACCATTTCAACTTGTCGTTGGCCCCTGCGGAGAACGTGGACGACTTAAGCACCTCCCCCATCTCTTCACGGCAAAAACTGAAGTTATTTATCGTCCACATGTAGCTGAACTTCACCACCTTCACCTGTGCACACAAGACCTTCAAATGCGATACCACGTCAGAGTCTATCTCGTGGAAGCTAGCTTAATCTAACTACGCTAAAAAGGCCTACGCAAACAGCCATTCATGGTCTTCTCTTGGGGGTCTCTTACGGTCTCTTACAAGTTTACAAAATCAATCTCTATATCTCTTTTTGTTCTGCGACGGATATCTACGAGTAATTAAATATTTGAGATGGAAGGTACCGCGGAAGAAATTTCCATAACTTCTTAGAAACAGCTTTCGACGAAATAATCGGCGAAGAAATTTCTTTTCTTTAGCGAGAATAAAAAATTGGATTCCCTACTTCGATATAGTTTTAAAATTGTACGATAAAACTTCTTTGTACTTGGCCAGTGGTATCGGTTCAACTGCACGGTGTGGCAGTTGAACTCTTAGAAGTGAGACACATCCGGCGATTATGAATTATCAGCGCGACATAGTAAACGCCCTATCGTCGTAGTTAAATCACATTGTAGCTATCTAATCACCTGTTTACGAGTTTGTCCGCACTTCGCGTCTATTCAATTAGTATTCTTTTTTTATATCCGGAACGTAAAAAAAAAAGAAAAAGAAAATGAATATCGTCACGATACATAAGTCTAAAGGTCTCCATTCTAGTCGGAATTATGTTTGTTAGCATGGGCGTCCGCGGGATTTTTTTCAAGGAGGAGGGTATAATTAAATTTTTTTATTTCTTGGTCTTTCTCAAGTTTTTTAAATTTAATTTTTATTTTTATGTTTATTTTTTCATTTTTACTGATTTCAAGGGGGACAAGTATTTCCTCTTTTTTCGAATAAACACTGGAATTTATTTGCATATTTAAAATAAAAAATAAAAATAAAAAAATTAAATTTAAAGAAATTAAGAAAGAAGAAAAAAATAAAAAAAATTAATTACGTCTCCTCCTGGAAAAATCCTGCGGACGCCCATGTTTGTCGAATTTCAAGAGAAACGCATCGCGTCAATTGTAAACATCCGTCGTTATTATATGTTAATGCCGAGTCCGTGAAAAGCTCTCGAACAGAACAAAGTTCTTTCGTTCTCGAAATCGACCTTGAAGACGAAGTACCACAAGTATCACCGCGGTAAGTAACCAAAGGGAGAGAAGGAGGAGGTCCAGGGTCGAATCGAATGATGCTCAGAGTCTGCTTACGCAATTCTCTGAAAGAATACACGAACGGACGGATTTAACGGTAGAGGCGTGACTTTAGTTATTTCGAAGGACACAAGCATTTTTTTCTTTCCGCTTGACTTTGTCGATAACGGTTTCGACACACACACGAGCGTGTGACCGCATTTTTTTTCATCCGGGACGTCGCATTAATATGCATCTACATCGCGGATTGGGACTAATCGGGGATCGTCCCTCTTCGTCTTCGCGATCGAGAAACGTTCGGTGAAAAATTAAATTAAATTGCCTGCATAAACTTCCTTTTGCTTAGCTGTCATCTGGAAATATACATAATTTTATCGAGTTTTGCGCGATGGAGAGAGAATTCGGAAAAACGAAGGCGCAGAAACTCGAAGAAACTCGAGAAAGAGAAAGAACAGAAGGTCGAGTCCCCGGAAGGAGTCAATGATCTTTCACGTCAGCATGTGTGTGCACGACCTTGGCGAACGAGCGGTAGCCCGCGGCCAAATCTATTCGTCTAGTCTTCCTTAATGGTGAACCTTTGCGTAGGACTCTTATCGGCCATCTACGGCAACTTTTGCGTGTCCTCATCGTGAGAAACGACAATAGGAGCACATACATACGCGATGAGTGAGAAACGATACTTTATTATGTTCTCAGAAGGGATAAAATCTCTTTTCGAGAATTTCGTTTCATATACAGAGTATCTGGTAACTAACGGACCAATGATTAAGGGCGGATTCTCTGGCCAATTTGGAAACGATTTTTCCTTAGCAAAAATGTTGAGAAGTCAATAATTTTCGAGTTATAAGCGATTGAAAAAAATGGGTTTTTTGAAAACTAAACGTTTTGGAGTTAAAAGTCTAACATAATTACATTCTTCAGTTAATTTCAGGTAGAGTTTACTATAATAAAATTTTAATTTGAGGCTTAGTTATAAAGATACATAATGACAATTATTGGAAAGTTGTAAAAAATGATGACCTTTTTCGACATTTTCGCTGAGAAAAATCGTTCCCAAATTGACCAAAGAATCCATTTGTAATCGTTGGTCCGTTAGTTACCGGACACCTTGTATTAACCGATAAAAAACAAAAAAAAAAAAAAAAAAATACGAACAAAGAGAGAGTAAACAAATTATTTTTCAAGTAAAATCATAATAAGGGAATAACTGAATTGAATTAATAATGGCTTTGAACCGACAACTGATTGTCGTCGAACATTTTTATTCAAATTAGAATCAGAAGGGAGATTTTTAAATGCGAAAAATATGACAATTGTTGAGAAAATAATGAAAGATTGCTTGTTTTTATTAAACTTTGGTTATTAAAAAATTAAAAGGATAAACAATGTACAAAAATGTGTGTGTGTGTGTGTGTGTGTGTGAAAAGTACATCTAAAAAGATTTTATTCTCTCCCTCAAAATAAATATCAATCCAAAAGCGATGTTTCACACACACATGTATATTATAATAATATAAAATTGTACGACAAACAACGTTAATATGGAATGCAAATTGGATGCGAAAATAGGTATCGCTTAAAAAATTTTCCATTATAATCTGCCCGAGAATTTTTATAAAATAAAGAGATTCAAGCTCAATTACAGCGACTGTGTACAGCGATTACGAAGTCAACTTTCCAAATGGAACTTCGCAAGTTTTATCGGAAAAACTTTTCCACAATGGAATATATAAAGTACGATATATATAACGTCGCGTCGGATTTTAACTGTCGGCGAATAAATATGTTTTAAAAATACAGATATACTTTAGACAAATGTAGACAGTACCTAGCACAAAGTTCGCGATGAGCCACGATAAATCGCACGTGAGTTTCCTCTCCTTGTCTTCCCATTATCCGCAGTCAAGGGACAAAGGAAAGCGTGAGAAATGTCCGCTCTCGACAGTCTAACGAGTGAAAGTCCTTTTCTCTTTTCGACGGTCGCTTTGCAATCATAAGCAATGCACATTTGTATTCTAAGTTCCGTCTAATCCTTCCAAATTGACGTAATCACGATACGATAAATTCCGATATAGCTTCTCAAGCATTATTTTTAAAAATCGCTAATTCAAATATTTAAGTGTACGCGCGCGATGCAAAATCAAATTAAAACATTTAAAAATGTCGAATTTATTAATAAATATTCTAAGCTTCATCTAATCCTTCCAAATTGATATAATCACGATAAAATAAATTCCGATATAGCTTCTCAAGCATTATTTCAAAGAATCATTAATGAAAATTTTCAAGTGTTTGCGCGCGATAAGAAATACAATTAAAATATAAAAAAAAAGTAGAATTTATTACTTCGAATTATCGCATAAAAATTCTTGCAAAGAATTCTCGTTCTCTTCGTAAAAAAGTTTCATTTAAGAGAACGCAGGAGAAAATATTCTCCTCTAACAGAGGGGATGTTTAATCGGCATTCTTGGACACTCGCGCGTCAAGAACGTCCATTCCCCGGGTGTTTTTTTTTCTTCTTTTCGATCGCGAGCATATCGCGCATTTATTCACGACATCGCCGGACGGGCGAGTTCGATGATCTTCACCTCGGCGTTGACCTTCGCACATCGGAAGCTTAAGGTCGACATTCGCGTCGTCGAGAAGCAGGAAGGAGGTGGCTATCTCTCCCGTAGAGTTCAACGCACGCTCGTACTGTAATCTCCTTCGTGGCCGGTTACTTCTTACGACGATTCGTTTGCCCGACAGGAAGCAAAAAGGCAGAGGAGAGACGTCTCGCTGTTGCGAGGGCTAGAGGAGAACATCCCATACACAGAGGATTTTCTCTTGGAATTTACCCTGAAAATCATGGGACAATACGGTGGAGGAATTTTAGGAAAATTTCTGATTCATATTTAATACAATAACAAATATCAATATCTATCATGATAAGATATAAAATATGTTCAATTAATTTTATATCTTGTCGTGATAGATATTAATATTTTTGATTGTTGTAAATATATATTTAATCGGAGAAACTGTCATGAAATTTTTCTCATATTGTCCCACGATTATTCTAAAAGAAAAGTTTCTCTCTGCAGACAAATCGAATATTTGCACCGCAATTTGAAAAAGTTCTCGAGCAGATTGTAATGAAAAAAGCTATTTTTGCAGTGATGCCAGAAAGGGGGCAAAAGGAAGTATTTGATCCCCTCTTGGAATTAGTAAACAAAATGAAGCATTTGCTCTCCTTTTGAAAATAAACATTAGAATTCATTTACATATTTAATATAAAAGAATGAAAATAAAATAGCAAAGATTTGAATTTAAAAAGATTATGTCCCCTCCTGGAAAAAATCCTGCGGACGTTCATATTTATTTACGCATATCGAATTTGCATTCCATATAAAAATCATTATTTGTCATACTTATTTTTAGTATATATGAAACATTTTGCTTTTGATTGATGTATCTATTTTGAGAAAAAATATAGAAAAAAAAAATAATTCGGAGAGAAAGATTTTTATAAATCAATATTATTATTCGTACACGGAATTTCAAAATATGGAAAAAATCCATGATAGAATATAGAATCTTCGTCTAATTTGCAGTTAAAAATGTTCTCGTTGCAAATTGATTTTTGCGGAATTGATTGCGTTACGTGCACGATGGAAATTTTGAACGACCGACGCAGCGGAGGAACACTATTTTCTCGAGTTAATTTCGTTTCCTACGACGTAATCCTACACGTTGGGAACGTGCCAAGAACTAGACTTCTTCGTTCTACGGAGAATACGAATAACTCCCGCTCGATGCGGACGTTCGCGTCCTTTTTCTACAGCTAAGCGACGTGTACGTGACGACGAAAGCAATAATGCAATTGTGACTCATATAGGAAATAAT